GTGTGTGTGTGTGGCTGTTCATGCACATGTACGCCTGGTGTGTATAAGAGTGTGAGTGTCCCACCTTTTCCCCTTCGCTGGTGCATTAGCGGATGAACATGTGAGCTAGAAGGGCCATAAACTTGCAACTGCCCTCACATGAGTGATACAGCCCTGCAGGACAGGAGTCATCTGCCTAGTCCCCCTGCTGTGTGAGAGCTCCACCTACTGGCCATGCTACTGTCACTTCTCCACACCTGAAGAACAGCATCCATTAGCTACGTCATCATCTTGAGCTATTTCTCCGTTGATGAATGTGACCAAATGAATCTGCAGAGGGACACATTCATGGAAGGCTTTATTTACTGAAGCACTCTTTGAGGAGAGATGGTATTGATATTTCATTACGAGTCTAATAAAGGGCAGTCAGTATTGAGTTTTCATTAATAGGATTGCTTGTGTGCATATTAACTTGTCCACGCATTTCATGGTGACTTGGGGAGAAGCGAAATGACTCCAGATGCTTGTTGTAACTGGCTGCAGTGGTGTGACTGATCTAACAATCAGCTGCATCCCTCACAAGTGAAAAAGAAATGAGAGATTTAAAGATAGACAGAGACTGGCAGAGAGACAGACAGACGGAGAACACTGAGCAACCAAGATGTCATGAGAAAGATAGCGAGAGATCAAAAGAAGCACAGAATGTGAGTTAACAAAGAGCGCACAATAAACCGGAGCGGAGAAAACAGACAAAAGTAGAAGAAATAAAAGCAAAAAAAGCTGCTGCCTATCAGGAACAAAGACTGCCCCCTGTACATCTGCGAGCCCTTTGCTGGGTTTGCTCTTGTTCCTCCAGGCAGTCCCTGACACCCCCGCCACTGGACGCCAAGTTGTTTCAAAAGCATGACCCAGTAGTGCAGTGCAGTGAATTTGATGAAACTAGCCTAGCTACAAACAAACATCAGGCTTTCGATGGGAGGGATTTTGGACATTAAGCAAAGCAGCGGGCCCTGCGTGGCGAACGCTGGCCTGTCCTTGACGTCCATTCCGTCTCGCTCCCTCTCTTTTCTCTGACACAATGGAGGCCTGAGCCAGATGGATTAATAGGAAGAGGAAAAGACCACAAAGCAGAGAGGCTTATACTGTCAGGACAGACACACACACACACACACACACACATGCACTACTCCTCTCCAGTGACGAGACTGAACTTTCAGTACCATAAATAGTGTCAGGCCTGGTGTGTGACAGTGTCTTGTCATGGCTTTGTTATATTGCAGTGTGTGCTGCACAACGCTCTAGGGGGGTGAGATGAAGAGAACCCCTCCCTCCCTTCCTATAAGCAGACTAAATAAGGCCTGTTCACCTCCTGGTATTTCCTGAAGCTCTGTGGCAAGTCTTGAAGTGGCAGTGCCTCCATTAAAATGACTGATGATGCAGGTTCATGTTCACACAGCACAAAGACTTTTAGGCAATAATGGATGAGCCTGTTCCCAACACATTGCTCTGTGTGTGGCTGTTTGTGTGTGTGTGTGTGTATATGAGTGATTGTTGGCGGTGTGTGTGTGTATGAGTGGCTGTTAGCGTGTGTGTGTGTGTGTGTGTGCTTGTGCTGTTTACTTGATCTGTTATTGAACAAATCAGGTGCTCAAACAGACTCCAATGTGCAAATATCACTAGACGTTCAGGAGGATTTTATTCATGCATTCATCCACTTAATATATTTATTCATTTATGACTCAGTGTGTCATTGTCACATGGGAGGAATATTAATTTGAGTGTGTTTTCTCTTTCTCTGATTCTTTCAACAGAAAGTGTCTCAGTACACTATCATCGTCCAGGCGACAGACATGGAGGGCAACTTGAACTTTGGTTTGTCCAACACAGCCACAGCTCTTATCTCCATCACTGACATCAATGACAATCCCCCAGAACTGACAGTCAGGACGGTGAGTCCACAACTTTACTCAGTTGTTTTATTGTTCTGTGTAAGGAACTGTATGAAAATGACCAGAAGGAGGAAGGGAGGCTGAGGTGCATTTTCTTTTGCTGAAAGCTGGGGAGTCTTATTTCATCTTGTGACATTTACTACATAAAAAAAATATACGAATCAATAATTAATCAATCTATTCAAAAATAATGTGGATCATGCCATGGTAATAAAGGTGGCCTGATCCATGCTCTGTTTTAAATACTTAAACGTTCTTAAATAATGTTTATGACAGAATACAACCCAATAACAACCAGTAGGCACTACATCATGCATATTCTCACATCTATAACGTCTAACATATATTTACATGATGAAATGTGGCAAAGGGGTCTCTATATAACTCAACTTCATTTGTAACTAGCTCCACACAACATATGAAGGGTATACAGAAGGCAAATATTTCAAACAGATGAGGAGGGAGGTCACAACCGTCAGTCCTATTCTACTTGATCCTTTTGGTCCGTTTTGCATGTAAGTGTGATTTCTATATCTTAGAAGAAAAGTCAGTCTTTCCAGCTCATGAATCTCTGATGATTTCAAGCCACTTATTACCTCTAGGTTGATATCCATTCACGAGAAATTACATTTTTACTGCTACAGTTAAAAAAAAATGAAATTTTCAATCAGTATCTGTATCATATCCTGTTATTCTTTTGTAGTAGGACAGTGTGTTGTATGTATACAGTTGTAGCTGTATTTTCATTATATAAGGGTGGATTATTCTTAGACTGAGTGGGTTACACAAGCATCCAAGTTACAGACAGCTCTTTACCTGGTCTCTGTCACACGAAATTTAACAGCTGACAAAGATGTGTGATAAGGATATATATATATGACAACACAGTGACAAAATACAGAGAGAGACAAAAAAAGATGGTGTGCCTGAAAGTAAGATGGAGATCAGTATTGGAGATGGGAAGTATAATCCCACCTCCCCCTCTGTGTGTTCCCTGCCAGCGGGGGCCTCTGGTGGCCAGGGTTTGTCTGTAGGCATCTGGCCCTGGTCCCTGATACCTCCACGGCGGTCTGACAGGAAGCCAGGCTACAGCTGGCCCACTTCGCTCTAGCAGAGTGTGGTTTGTCAGGAGTAGTTTGTTTTTTAATGGTGAGTTTACTGTGAGAGGTTATCGGTAAAGAACAACAAAGCAAAGACTCTTCTATGCAGAGTGTCAAAGCTTTTGTGTGTGGATGCATGGGGCTAGGTTTCTGTATCTTTCTCCATGTGTAGCTCGACTCTCCATCCTCAGCCTCGTCATATAGAATCAAAATGCTGACCGCAGCCTGACAGGCCCAGCCTGGATTGTAGCTACTCTTTTATGTGAGCACTTGGATTTCTGAGATTCCAGAGAGAGACGGATGCTGTCTGCAGCAGAGCTCAGAGGCAGTGTGTCAGCGTCACACACTGTGATCCCTGTCTCCTCTGCGGGGCCGTCATCAGCGCACATTGCAAGTACAGTTCCAGTCGTGCTCTCTGATAAGAGCTCCCCAGCTGTCAGGGGTAGAGCTCAGTGAACAAGTCTGCTGCTCCTCTCAGAGCTGCTCCGTCCTCCGTCTGCGGCGCTGGCTCCGTCACCGCTCGTCACCGGGGACAAGCTCTGGACCAGAGTCCTCCTGCCAAACAGAAACGGACATGCACTGCTTCAACGGACACGTCCTTGACACGCAGAGCACACAATGAAGACACACACACGTACATGGGTGTAAAAGTCAAAAGAAAAAGAGCAGCTGAAAAAATCCTGATGTGTGACTCAAAAGTGGTAATGAGTAAAAGTGAATAAAAATGTGTTTTTGTTGTTTTTACGCCACTTAGACACAGACAATGACTCACTGTCACATGAAAATCCACAACAAAGAAATTGTTTTGCAGCAGATGCCTTTTCAGCTGCATTGTCAGTCTCCACTTTTTTTTTTTGATTTGCTTCCCACACAAGCAACTCGACTTGGAGTAGTTCAGTAATTATTTGTGTATAACAGACTGGAGAAGAATTTATTGCTCTCTACAGGAGGCTCAGACAAAGCCTAAGCACACTAATTAAGTGAAATTGCTTGTGGGGGCTAAACCAAGCTGATATGTTGCATCTAATTTGAAAAAATAAAAGACCGATTTTTTTATTCATTTCACCACATGGGTGTGGATGTGCTATGTTGTTGCTATGTTCGTCATTGTGTGAGAAACAATTGTAGCTGCAATCGCTCTCATCAAACTATTTCACACAGCGAACCACACCTTTGTTGAAGTGCAGGAGACAGGCTTGGAAAAGTTGTGAGGTTTAAAGAATGAACTTTCAAACACACAGGCTCACAGATGTGTTATTGTATTTCACCTGTAGAGCTGCTCTGTAAATAGCAGGAAAAGCTGGATCACCAGTGATTATTAACTTTCACTACTTTTTCCTCTGCTTCCCACTCTTCAATTTAGATTTGTGTTAAAAGAGCAGACTGCAGGAAAAGCAGCGTGATGTCTGTGTAACATAAAAAGATAGGTGGAGGATAGACGCCTGTTGCCAGCAGCTACATCTTTCTTACACTCTAGCAAAGACATAACAGCCATCTTAAGTGGACTAATGTCAGTCTGATATCAGTAAGAGTCTGTTTTTGGGACATTTATTCTTCCTAATGCCGTCATTTCCATTCAGTGCCGTTTCCAATGCCCCATGAAAGAAGAGAACAGCTCATTTAGTCTTGTTGAGCTCCAGCTCTGCCACGTAAAATGGGACATTTTCATTTGCTGAGTCTGTTTTCAGGAAGGAGGCAGTAGATTTCCCCTGCTGTGCAGTGCACCTTGATGCAGATGTATTTTCTTTAAATGATTTAGCGTCTGTGCAGCGCTGTAGCCGCACTAATTTCCCCTGACTGGAAGTGTAGCTCCAACGTGTGAAGGCCAGACATGTCTGCAGACAGTGTATAAGATGAGAGGATTTTAATGGTCGCTATCATGCAGAAGTGACCCTGTATTAGAGTAGTTTTATTTAGTGCAGTCATTAATACATGTGGGATCTATTGACACGTCACAGGCTCATTAAATAAGACCCTGACAGTGGATTTGAATGGTGATGTCACAGGAGTCTTATTATCCCCAAGGACAAAAACTGTTGACCAGAGAAGCCCGCCCTACTCCCCACTACGTATTTTTGTGTGCTTTCAAAATTAGAAAAATGTATTCTGTTACATATGAAAAACTAAACTGAAGTTATAAACACACCTTTTCTGCACTGATGAGTTTTGCTGCTACAGCCTCACTAGTCTGGTTTGACTTATGGCAGCCAGTGTTAAGATAGATCATGCTTTGTAACGGACGGCCTCTCACTGTATGAGTCCTCTCTACTCATACTTAAAAATCAGTGCTTTTAAAGGTGCACCAGTGCAGGCAGTGACTGTGACCTGACTATACTGAATCCACACAAACACTTTCAGTAGCACATGATACACAATACTTGACTTTCTCTCTGCTTCCTGTTTAAAAGCTTAGTCAAAGACTGTGTAAGCCACAGAAACAATTATAATGTGATGATGTGTTAAAATTAACTGCTGAGCCATTCAGTTTATAAACAGTGCTGTGTGGTTTGGTTTTACACTGAACTGAGGTCAGTTAGAATCACCAGTGAATACTGGGTGTGTGTCTGAACGGTCATCACTCAGTTAGATAGAAAGTAAACCAACTGTATATTCATTGACTTAAACTTAAAGAAAAAATCAGAATGAGCAGTAGTAATTTCATTTACCTCTATATTTTTATTACATTTGTCATCATCTTTTAAAGGCTCATTTAAGTTGGATCCGTTTTTAAAGTAATGGAACCTTCCCTGCCAACATACTTCCTTGCATCCTTTACTTTGGATGGTTGTTAAACAAAACATCCATCCCCCACTGCTCCATTTTGTCTGTTTGGTCTGTATCTGTTAGCTCTCAAAGGACGTGCACAAATACAGACAAAATGAATTCAGTGTAGAGACAGACGGCTCTGTCCGTTTAGGACATAAACATGTCACTTGTGGCCACAGTGACCATTGTTACACAGTCTCAAACGAACAAAGATATGCTGTTTAAGAATATATTAATAATTTTTTAGCATTGACAATTTGGGGGATTGTTTTGATCCTGCACATCTTATTGGCAGGTCTTCAGAAAATGTATCTCCACCTGCTGTTGCTGAACAGGTTAAAAGACCGTTTCAATAGGCAGAGCACATCAGTTTAGTATATAAAGACCTAAAAAGCCTTAATCCACAATCCTGACGACACATTTTGTCACGTTATGAGTCAATTTGCCCTGCTTCCTTTTCCAACCTCTTTGTAACTACAAAATCCTTCAGATGACTTGAAGCCTGTGTCTCTCGTGGCTTATCACTGGATCCACATTGCATTTTAAAGAGAGTGGCCATTTTGGGAAGTGCCCCTTCTCTACAGTCAGCACCATTGTGAGAGAGAGAGAGAGAGAGAGCATATTTTGTTTGGCTGTCTGACAGTGCGGCTTGGACGGTTTGTGTTTGGTGTTTTTGCTAAAGCTTGGGGTGAAAATGAAATGGAGGAGCCCACTCACCAGAGACTGGGAGTGCATATTTAATTTGTTCTCTGCTTATCAGCCCAGTCGTACTGCGGGGGATAGGAGGGGAGGGAGAGAGAGTAAGAGAGAGGGAGGAAGAGAGGAATCGGGGTGTTTGGACATGGCTTCAAACCCCATGATGATGAAGCCATTAAAGTGAACAGCAGCTGGCAGACACACACCATAAACAAGTTAACGCTTCACAAGAGGAAACCCAGATTATCGTCTGACAATGAGAGCTTTTAGTGTGTGTGTGTGTGTGTGTGTGTGTGTGTGTGTGTGTACCTTTGAGTGTCCTTCCCTCTGTAGCCAGATAAATCCCGAAAGAGAGGGACATGGATCCTAATGCACTGTAAATTCTTCTGCGGGCTCTGCAGCTGTTACCAAGTTTCCTCCAGAGTTAGTTCGGAGGGGGACTTGTTTCTCGTTGCAATATAACGAAGATCATTAGCCAAAGATTATTTCTACCACTGCTTTAATTACAGTACTTATCTAATTGCGTATTAGGGACCCAGATTTGGTGAATTATCAGAACCTAAATTGCATGGGTAAACACTTAATTGAACAAATCCATTAGTTCAGATAGAGTTTCATATGAGAAGACACAGTGTGGAATAAGAGCTGCATTAACATAATGTGAGCTATGATCCTCTATTATAGGCATTTAAACAAAAATGTCTGCTCTCTCTTTTGTATCCGCTCCTCTTTCTAATTTCTCCTCCATCTGTTTTGCCACCACGCGCTCGTCATGTTGTTATGTAATGAGCATTATTGGCTTGACCCTAAAAGCAGTTTGTTTTCATAAAAACAAATTATGGAAAATGCCCACAGATTGATGACAGCACAAGCAAATACTTAAAATCGTCCTCTCTCGTTCACCTCCTCCCCTTGTCTCCCTCACACTCTGAAGTTTTCTGGAGAGGTGCCAGAGAACAAAGTGAACGTGGTGGTGACCAACCTGACAGTGGTGGACAGGGATCAGCCCCATAGCCCCAACTGGAATGCTGTCTACCGCATCGTCAGCGGCGACCCCTCTGGGCACTTCACCATCCGCACCAACCCCATCACCAACGAGGGCATGTTGACAGTGATCAAGGTAAAGCTGAAGCTGTTTGTTTAGCTTCTCTACATCAGCTCTTTCAGCAGAAAGTGAACAGTTGCTTGCATTGTTATTCAACACTGCATCTTGTATGTTTCCACCTGCTCTGAAGTGCCAGATGCTGATGACTGAGTATGTAGGTCTCACATCATGTTCAATGACTTTGACATTTCTCAAAATGAAGTTAGAACTAATCTTGCAATCAGCTACACTCATTTTCCTCCCATCTCTCATTATTTTGTTTTTTCTCTCTCCGTCGGCAGCCGGTGGATTTCGAAATGAACCGTGCTTTCATGCTGACCGTGGTGGTGTCTAACCAGGCCCACCTGGCCACCGGCATTCAGTCCTCTCTCCAGTCCACTGCAGGAGTCACCATCTCGGTTCAGGACGTGAACGAACCTCCCGTCTTCCCTGTAAACCCCAAGATGATCCGCTTTGAGGAGGGCGTTCCAGCAGGGACCACTCTGACAGTGTTTGCTGCTCAAGACCCCGACCACTTCATCCACCAGATCGTCAGGTGAATAATCATTTCAGTAAGATTTATAATGTGCAACAATTCTTCATTAAAATGTCTCAAAGCGACTAGCTCTAAGTTATATATTTTGTAGTTAGATTATCCGAGATTTGTGCCTGAGTTGCATCAACTAGCTTTTCATCGGCCATGGTAGAGAAGATTCCCATAATCCCATGCTGCCTCGCAAAGTCTTGAAACCAGGTATATTGTTATTATTTTGTTAAAATGCTATAAAGCATATCTCCAACCACTCAATAATAAGTTTTGAGATGTAAAACCAAAACAATGAGCTGAAAGATGCTTAAATGCAGTTGATAACTTTATGTTGGTTTGTTACTATAACAACCTTTTTCTCATGAACAACAGTCATCTTGTGTATTGTTAATGTGAAAACAAATATATATATAACACATTTTTTAACCTTAAAACTTATAAATATTAGATTTATTTTAGTTTCAGTATTGTATGCAGTGTTATTCAGTGTCACATGTACAGCACTCCATTTAACTGTTATAAATGCATACAACATTCAAGGACGTTGGTTATACTGAGTGGCGTAATAAGAAAAATGACACATTTAAAGCAATTTCAATAATAATAAATTAAATAAGGAAATGAGGAGGATATTTTGACGACATATCAGAAGTAATTCGAAGTGCTACACCACTTGTTATTAATTGTAATAATTAATTGTATTTAAATTAATTAATTGTATTAATTGGAAACGTATAACTGTGAACATGACCGTCACTCTCACGTGCAAGTGAGTCACGAGTGACAGATGCACGGATTAAACCACTTTGCAGGTAAGTGCACAACTGCAGCTGAACCCGGTCTGACTGTGTACATGGACGGTAACAACTTTATGTATGGTAGCGGGAGCGAGCTTGTGGCTAATAGTACTTCAAATACACAGCTATACAATGCAGCAACGGAGCAAAAAACTGGTTTGACGTGGTGAGATAGGAAATTAGCCTTAACAGAGGTGGTGCACTCTCAGCGCACCCACCTAGTTTAAATTGAGGTTTTTAGATATATTCACATTTAAGGACTCATATATCAGCTGTCCAAAGGTGGACTGAAGCTACTCTGAAAGCTCAAAACTACTTTATATACATTCATAGTGACACACTTCCAATGTTTTGTCCACCCCTCCTGTATCTCTCTGAATCAGTGTGTTTGATCAGTGCTGGACAGTTTCTTCACAGTTTATCCCTCTTCTTTGACATTTCTTAACTGACCCCCCCACCCACATCCTAAGCTCTAGTTACCTCCCTGTTGCCAGGCGACTGGTGTGAAGAGGTCATCCTGTAATGAGCTGAACACCGTGCTTACCCTCCTTAGATCCCTTGTCTTCCTCCTCTCTTCCTCGTCATTGATCGCTCCCTTTCTAAAAGGGATGACACGCAGTGGGCATCGTGCCATCCCGGCATCGACCTTTTGCGACAGAAACTCCCACATGTCCATTGAGGTCCAGCGGCAGCGTTCCGCTCCCTCGCCAGCTCCAGCGAGAGAGATTGATTTTGCTTAATGTCAGTGAGACGGCCTCTTTCACTGAAGAACCCAGTGGAAATGTTAGTGGATTGTTTGGGAGGTTGTAGAATATGTACTCTTATATACACTGTGCAGAGGAATGAGCAGAAGCCACATCTCAGGTTTCTCCTGAAAAGACATGACATGCAAACTAAGTGGGTTGAGCTCTTCAGCCCTAAGAGACGTAGCTCCGCTTTTACTCTATTTTCTCTCATCCCTCCCGCCCGCTCGCTCGCTCTGACCCTGTCACTTTCTTCTCTGTCAGTCTGTGTGTCTGTTATTGATGGGAGCTCAGAGCTGCTGTCTTTTCCAAAGCAGCTTGCCAGCAGAAGTTCAGCTCATGCTCAGACAGTCTCATCTCGGTTGCCGCTGCTGTATTCCCTATAGGTGACCTCACTTGAACCCCCCAGCAAAATATATACACATACACACCGAAATGCACAAACGTAGACTCACAAACACACAAACATGCCTGTGCATGATTAGTAGATGGGAGAGGAGCCAGCTTGTATTTTTCAGTTTTCAGTTTTTTTTCTCTCCCTGGAGGAAAGGAAAGAAAAGATGATGTGAGGCGAAGCCTGTTTAGATGTGATTTAAGTGGCAGCAAGAGCAAATTAAGGGGCTGTTCAGATGTAGCGTCGAAAAATGTGTGGAAAGCGGCAGGCGTGCCACTTTCATCCTTTATTCCTCTGCACTTGGGGGGTTGCACTACTGTTGCACCTGCCATTACTAAGCAACCAAAAACTTCCATCCAATTAATAGAAAGCCTCAATGATTAAATTAGCTCAACTAAGAAAAAGTTTGAAAAAAATACATACCATAAATCCTCCTCAGTTATTTTATTGCTGTCTGGGTGCATCCCTTTCTTCAAGCTAAAAAACAAAATAAGGAATTTCCCAAACTGATCCGGGAGCTTTGTCTGGACAATGGGAGATTCAGAGCTTATTTCAGAGTGGATCAAGTTTGACCTTGTTCTAAAAAATGGCCTGAATATCAAAAGACTGCAGTGAAACATTGACAGTGAAAAGACAAACTAATAATCTCTTACCAGTGATTATCTGGTCTCTGCATTTAAATTGTGCCAATAAGGATTTTACCACAGATGAAATCATAGTCCGCCAATAAATAATAAGTTGTTATAAATGCTTTTGAATCTGATAAATGGCAACACTATTGTTGAATTTATGTTTTATTAAAAACCTGGATTTAGTCCTTTTACTAAATTTTATGAATAAATAAAACAATCTTAGATTAAACAAGAATGGCATTAAGTCGAGAGCACTCCCTCACCAAGGCCAAACAATCCCCTTAGAAAACCACATTTAAATTCACTAGATACAGATTTTTATTTTGTAGTTTCATATGTATCTGCAAAAGGAGTGGATTCAAATTATATTACCCATAATGCAACTACTTTTATATAATGTCGTCCAGTGGAGGCTCCATAATGCACACTTCCTTTCCATTCTCTCCTTTTCTTCTGATCTTCTGAAAACCCAGTATATAGAAGATGGTGGACATGGTTCACTTTGTCACAAACTGAGTTTAAACAAATGACAAAATATGGAAATCTCACCAATTAAGGAAATATTTTATCTTTTATATGACTTATGTGCTCTGTATAAACAAATTATTTACACACTAAGACATTTACAGTGTGTTATTAAAATAGTGTCAAATACTTAGTTTTACCTCTTGCTGTGGCTCAGGAGGTAGAGTGGGTTGTTCACTACTGAGAAGGTCGATGGTTTAATCTCCAGCCCCTCCAGTCTGCATTCTGAGTGTCTTAGGGCGCAAAACTGAACCCTTAATTGCTCCTGACAGCTGACGTCTTTGATGGTGTGTTATAAAAAAAAATGTATGAGTGTGTGTGTGTGAATTGGTGATTGCTAGTTGTACTGTAATGAGCTTTGAGTGGTTCTGTATAAATACAGTTAATGAGCCATTTAGAGAAGTCAAGCTCACTGTTTCTCAGCATAAAGATATCATGAATTATCAAAGCTGTGTATGTCTTTGATGTGGGGTCCATTTTTTGAGATGTTGAAGGGGCCTGTGGTCTCCAGGAGCCCAAACAGAACATTGGGGTTAATGGTTCCGGCAGTCTTCACACTTTGATCTGTTTGCTGCAGATGCAGACAGCGGCAGGTGACATCTTGTTAGCACAGGAAGGAGATGAGAGTGCCTGACATGCCACGCAAACACCAGAGTCTGCCCTGCAGGGCAACATCACATCCTGACTAACTCTGCTTGACAAGTTCTTTCACTGAAAATCATATTTATTTTCATGTATCTATGCTATTTGTCAGCGTGTCCCTCTCTCTTTGTCTGCTCGCTAAGTGTGCACCAGTCCAGAAGTGTGCCTCTTTAGCTGGAGGTGGAATTAATTGAATCCATGCCTGTGAGGCTCTGGCAAACTAGCGTCATCCTCCAACGCACTGTTTTAATTAACCCTCCTTTCCCAGTGATCACGTTTCATTCCGACTACGATTATATTCAGAAACGTGTCTATGATCTCCCTCCCCTCGCCACACTCTCGACCTGCATCTCTCACCCTTACCTCCCATCGCCCAGGTCATCACGTCGACCATCTACCTACTACTGAGACTCCCATAATTACCCTTCTCTCACCAGGAGAGAGGAGCACTTCCTCCACTCAGTCAGACGTTAAGACTCGTCATAGTTGTTAATGGGATTTATGGGCTGTAATTGCAGCTGTCACCCTCCACTCTGGTGATGTATCGACCGGTGATGGTGATGAGAGTTGCTGTGGCGCCCGTGTGGGTAGAAATAGCGGTGAAGTTGTTAAGCGCTGCCTGTCTGTTCGGCATATGGGTTCAGGTTTTCATCGGTCTTCATGCTAATGAGCTGCTGCTATGATAAGCTCAGTAAACATATGTTCCACTCTCCATGTCACTGTAATATTTTAAAAGTGCTTGGCTGGTATTGGTTGTTATGGTAATGAACATTGAACCTGATAATGACTGTTTTAGATTCACAAATATGAAGGTTCAGAGCTGCTAAAGTTAATTTCTGGAATATATTTGTGCCTGCATTTACCTTTGGATTTAATGAACCTTCTGTCTGTCTTTGTGTGTGTGTGTGTGTGTGTGTGTGTGTGTGTGTGTGTGCGTGTGTGTGTGTGTGTGTGTGTGTTTGTGTGTGTGTGCGTGCGTGCGTGTGTGTGCGCAGGTACTCCAAGCTGTCAGACCCAGCGAACTGGCTGAAGATCAACAGGACCAACGGTCAGATCACCACCATGGCCCTCCTGGACCGAGAGTCCATGTACGTTAAGAACAACGTGTACGAGGCCACGTTCCTGGCATTCGACAATGGTAAGTCTGGTAAGTCAGGATGTCTGTGTGTGTCGTGGTGATTTCATAAACTGAGGGTCACATACGGGATGATGGAGGCATATTGGCAAAGCAGCTCTACAGTGATGGCAATATCCAAGCATCTCAGCAATTATTGGATGATGTCCCATGAAATTTGGTGCATCCATGGTTTCCAGGGCACGTCTCCACCTTCTGCAACTGCACAAGAATAAAATGAAAATAGATCTCGGATACAGGTGCTGCCATCTAGTGCTGGTGACATCACTTGGGGCCAGACAAACCTATTTGTGTTGTGACAGTGGTAATTAGATAATGGTAGCCCACTGTCTGACTGTCCTAGGTGTTTGGACTTGAGACATCATTCACCTGAATTTTTATTCTGACACCACATGAGCACACAAAAACATCATCATGTATGATCACTGTGCCTACATACGGCCTGTCAGAGCTGCTACAGCCTGCTTTTCTATTTTTAGAAAAGTTTTATTATTTTACTGTTGATGATATTTTTTTGTTACTGTCATCATCATCATCGTAGTAAAAGTCATAAATAAAACCGATGCACCAAAACATAATCAAATAAATGTTTCTGTCATGATTATCTCTTCTTTGGCACCAATCATCTAAAACTATAATCAGATTATTATATAATATATTCAGTCTGGGATGATGTGCTGTCACTTGTTGCCCTGGACATCACAGTGTGGGGTTACTGCAGAGAACACAGGTCTAAAGGATGAGTCTATGTAGTGGCTGGATTGTGAATGAGTGGAATACTTTGTTCATATACTGTATGTTCATTTCTCCGTCTCCCTGTAGGAAGAAGGCTAAGAATAATATGTGTCAGTGATGGTGTTGAGTAACAGAAAGAGCTAAAGAACTAAAGCTCTGTGTGTGAGCAGGAGGGACTCAGGTGTTTATACTCCAGTGAGAAATGAGGGATCAGTTGCCCTGAAGCAAACTAAGCTAAGCTCAAAGTGTTGACTGCCTATTGATTCTGGAGCTCAAAGTCAACAAGGGGATATATTCCACTTTGATTGAAATTCTCTTAACTTATTGTACTCAAGCCAAGCGTAAGAGAAGCACTCCGCCAATCACAACCGACAAGTCGGTCGAAGGGGCCTTGGGGTGCGGGGCAGCAGACATTTACATAGCCGATGCACCACGTTACTGTGTGTTAGAGGGAAAACAGTTGAAACACAACCCTGATGAGCTGCTGGGGTGAACTCCATCCACGCTGCACTGCATCAGTAATTTTAGTCCAGCTCGCTGACAGTCTCTGTGCAGGGGGCTGTCAGCTGAATGTCGAGGCCACAATATGTCACTGCTGCAGTCTGTTCAACACGTCCTCTCTTCATCTGTAGTTTGTCATCATTCACTATTATCCTTGATCAAGTTCATCACACTGTGAGACTGAGTTACTGATTCTGAGTCAGTTTTAATCACATCAGGAGAGAAGCTGTTGATTTACATACATGTGTAAAGAGCTCTGTCAGAATAATAAAACAGTTCATAACACTTAACATCAGTTGAATAGTTTTTACATGTATTTGCCTTAATCTGACATATTATTGATTTTCATCATAGGATCCAACCTAAATGCTTTAACTTGTTGAGGTGAAGCTAATTCTTTGACTCTGTTTTGATTCTATTCATTCACACATATATAAAAGATAAAAGTTCACATATTTATATATATATACATATAAAAGAAAGCAAGCAGCAAAACCCCCTAAAATAAAAAGAAAAAGGAACCCACACCCAGGCAGATATATGACAGTACACAACATAAGTAAATACAGTTAGGATGGAGGTCTACAAAGATAACCTATTAGCGAAACATTTCAAAGAGGAAACAAACCTTTCCAATCAATCTAGTCCCAATGTGCACGTCACTGGACTGTGGGAGGAAGCCGGAGAAGCCAAAGAAAACCCACGCTGACACAGGAAGAACATGCAAACTCCAAACAGACCTGGCAACGCTGGGATTTGAACTTTCTAGCAGTTAGGCGGCAGTGTTAACCACTGCAGTTGGTAGTTGGCATATATACATGTAAGTGTCGTAGAGTAAATAGTGCGATATAGACATCTAAAAATGTAGAGATTTATAATATTAAAACTAGTGTAGTGTGCACACGTCCACCGAGGCCCAACAGTCGCCTTAAATTTTATCAACCTGCACCAAATTTCACACACTCGGAAATATCAGTTCCATAAGGCCAATTTTTATACCACCCTGCCGGAGAGCCTGTGACTGGAATTATGTTTTCAAGTTGTCCACCCTTATCTCAAGAACGTCAAGAGGGGAATTTCTTTAAGAGGGGAATTTCTTTAAATTTGAAAAAATTTAATCTACTTCACTTGGACTCAACTGATTAGATTTTAGATTTAATTTTCATCAAGATCCATTAATTATTTCCTGGGAAATCAGTGAAAATTTCTAAACAAATTAGATTCTATCTTACAATGTTAAAGAAAGTGAAAACAAATTCCTGCACCAACATTTCTACCATTGTGGATCAGGGATGAACCTAACTGGTTCAACCCTGATTTCGTGGTTATCCATCCAGTACTTTTTATGTGATATTGTTCGAGCTTATAAAACACCTCAACTTTCTACTTGCAAGCAAAGCAAATGCATTTTTGGTTACAATAATTATCTGGTCACATCCACTGATTTTATTGGAGTAGTTTCCCTTCTATAATTAAAGTCCTATTTAAATAAATTTCAATTAAATTAAGGAAAAGTCCAATTATGTCCTTTCTCTTTAAAGTAACCCTGGAGTCTTTTAATCATTTAAACTCTGCTCATGTGTTTATGTCTGTAATGCAAATCACATCCCAGAGAAAAGAAAGGCTTCAAATCCGAGACGATCTTTTATGAGTTTCGTTCTTGCTGATTCACTCTGTACAGTGCGCGTGGTGCCAACACTTGTGTCAGCGCTTACACACTTACACTCCCTGGAAACTGCACATCTTTTATTTCTCTATGATTTTCAATATTAATGAGTAAATAAGCAACAATCAAAGTTACATTTTGGAGGAAAACTTCCGTCTGTATTATTTATCATAATAGAGTTTAGCATTATCAAGGCGGTGCAAATATGTTTTATTGGGATGTTTGTGTGTGGTTTCATCAGATTTCATTGTCCGTGGTCTAAAGCTTTAAATAAACAATCAGCAGTTGTCGCATTTTGATCCAATATGTGCTTGTGTGATTGGTGCATGCACATTCATTTTAAAACAGGAGAGACTGTCTCACATATGAAATCACAATCACCTACAGTTCTTTTTCCAGCTGATGGAGGAAATACACTTTCAGGACCTTTATTCAACAAAATCAATTCGATGCATCGATGTTTGAAATTTATAAAGAGACACTGGCAGTGAAATATTTCACCTCGCACCAGAGTTCAACCTCATTACAAACGTTTTTCACCGCTCTTGTGTTGAGACTCGAGACTGATCAGCAGAACAAGTTCACTTTGCATTGTGGAACCAATGAGGCGCTTATTCCCAGCACCGTGTCGTACAGCGTCGACAGAGACAGCGGCAAAAACAACATTTGTCATTCAGCACAAGTGCAGTTCACTTACAGTTTACGCTGTAATCAAAGCTGTTAACGGTGCATAAAACATCACAACCGGGTCTCCTGACCTGATCTGGTTCTGTTCTGGGAGTCAATGTTATGATGGGTCTGTGTTGGTGGACGCAGTAAATGGTTAGTGTTTGAGTCATTTCCCAGGGGGCTTTGCATAGTGCAGATAACAGCAATCTTTATGTGAGCTTCGTCCCCTCCAATACGAGCCTCGTCTGAAGCTTTTCACACACTGAAACATTTATGTGTCCTTTCATTTGTTCTGGCTGTTTTGTTTGTGTGCTCCACTACAAATGTTGTCCCTGCACTTTCAGCCACTCGGTAAACAAAACATTTTTCTTCCCCTGTTGTTTCTCTGCCTCGCTGCCTCATTTTCTCACTTCAACACTTGAATCGGCTGGAAAGATGTGCCTGAAATGAAATGAAAGGATTGTTTTGCTGTAGCTTTCTCAACCCCCCTCCATCCTGCTGATTGCTGCATCTTCAATCATTTCGTCTTTACTCCTCTGCTCCTTCTCTCATTTACTCACCAGCTCCTCCTCGTGGTCTCTTTGCCTCCTCTCTCTCTCTCCAGGCTCGCCTCAAGCCAGCGGGACAGGAACCCTCCAGATCTACTTGATCGACGTCAACGACAACGCTCCGGTGCTGATACCCCGGGAGGCCCAAGTGTGCGAGCGTGCGCGCCCCAACTCCAGGATCAACATCACGGCTTCAGACGCTGACGCCGACCCCAACGTGGGGCCCTTTGTCTTCGAGCTGCCTTCTTTTCCTGCCAACGTTCGCCGCAACTGGACAATTTCCAGGCTGAGTGGTAATTAAATGCTGTTCACTCTTTTCAAGACAGTTAGGACTCAGTAGGCAGTAGGAGAGGCAGTATAGAGGAATGACATATGACTGCTCAGCATCCTCAGCTGAATTAAACCATAAACTTAACAGAAGGGAGGCTGCAGAGTAACTGCCGGGGGATCAGGGATGGCTGTAAGCTGTGGTAGAGGTTTAAGAAAATGTCTTAAAAAGCTCACAGTGAGAGATGCGGGTTCCATCAGTGCTGACGTACGATCCAGCGTTTGTGACAAATGAGTTCCATTCATCTCTCCGTCCCCCGAGCAGCCGATCTGTCACCTAATCCACCCAGATGGATGTATCACAGCAGTTGTCTTGCGGACAAATCTGATCACATACCTGGATTCTGCTCCCACTGAGACTCTTGTCTTAGCTCGACTGAGTGATAGATGCTGAAGGTTATACATTCTCACATTACGTCTTTATATCATTATTGCCTCCTCGCGTACATACATACATGTCAGAATGATCGCTGACAGTTTGTTCGCTGCTGCCTGCTTTTATTTGGTTTGTTTCCTCATGCCCGTGCACATGATGACATGATATCCTGCAGTAAACAAAATGTTCTTTCTCCACAGTTCACTCTAATCTTATTTTCCCCCTCATCTTCCCCTCCTTTATGTCTTCCTCCCTCCGATTCACTCCCCTCCATCTCTTAATGTTTCTTCACTATCCACTCCTCCCATCACCCACATCACCCCCCCCCCCACACTGTAGGCGACTACGCTCAGCTCAGGCTGAGGATTCCTTACCTGGAGGCCAGTGTGTACGAGATCCCTGTCATCGTGTCCGACTCGGGAAACCCTCCTCTGTCCAACCGCTCCGTGATCAGAGTCAAAGTGTGTCCCTGTGACGATAACGGAGACTGCAGCGCCACAGGGGCCGTGGCAGCCGCTGGACTAGGCACCGGGGCCATCATCGCTATACTCATCTGCATCATCATACTGCTGAGTGAGTTCAATGAAGTGGAACAATCAAACATTAAAGCAACTGGATCGGTGCATTTCTGCAGGGTCTTAAAAAGTCTAAAATTCAATCATCTGATGATGTTACATGTTACGTCTATCTAGGTGTTCATTAAGTGAATGTTTTTAAGAGAAATGTTTTGGTGCAGCTTGATCATATACAAACACCCCAGTGATGTGATGTACATGATGAAAATTACAAAACGTACACATTCAGGGCTGCTCATATAGCAAATATTTTCTTTATTTTCACCACAGGCATGGTTCTGCTGTTTGTGGTGTGGATGAAGCGCAGAGAGAAGGAGCGGCAGGCAAAGCCTCTGTTGATCGACCCTGAGGATGATGTCAGAGACAACATCCTCAAGTACGATGAGGAGGGAGGAGGAGAGGAGGACCAGGTATCGATTCTAGCAAATATACTTAAAAGCTTTTTTTTTTTTTTGACTGTCTCCTCCAGGTAGTTAAGAATTGATGGACTAGATTAGATAATGGTTGATCAATTCCCATAAGGATCACCCATACACTGTGTGTGACAAGTAACTATGATCAATACATAGTTTTGTCTATAAAATGTCAGACAGTAGTGACACATTATAATTCCCCTAAGATCAAGGTTATGCATTCAAATTATTGTTTTATTTGACCATAAATCCATCTCTGAAAAATGTTGCTTATATATGTATATATATATGAGATATTTATATATATATATTTATGTGTGTTAAAGTAAAGTGAATATTTTTTGGAGTTGGTTTCAGAGTTGTCTCAAAAATACAACTATTGCTCAACACATACTCTCTTTTAATATTTATTATTCTCTACATGAATAAAAACCAACTCAATACTATATTTCCACATCTTCGATTAATTCAGAGATGTATTATTAATGAAGGCATTTATGTTGTTTTCCAAAACCCACACACCAGATTTCTAGCGCGTTAACACACACGAGGATCAAATGGCAGCAGTGCACACAAACATATTTCTACTCTTAAGCACCTGTTTGAGGATTTAGTGGCTGCATTTATTTATCATCTGAGGCAGAGCTGTTAAGATAAGTCGACAACCTGCTCCCATTTATTCACAATACAAATTTACAACACGTAGTTGTAGAGAAAACCAACAATTGTATACAACTGATTGTATTAACAGCCCTGTTCATTTCCCTTTTATGTTCCATTTAGTTTAGACAAAGTGAAATCTGCATGGAATACAAAATGAAGAGGGAAACACACTGTGCAGTCAGAATGAATTGCACATAAATATCACTGTGTGTGTGGGTGTGTGTGTGTGTTTGTGTATGTGTGTGTGTGTGTGTGTCATGCTCTCAGACAGTAAAGTATGAGGCTCATATTGTTTTGTATTTTACTGAAATGTGAGTAGTCTGTTTCTATCGTTATTTAATAATAACTTAGTGTTCAATAAATGATCAGTAATATTTTGTAATATTTGATCAAATACAGCTGCTCTCCGAACAGAAACATGTTCTCGTGAGCTACTCCACAGTCATTTAGAATCACAGCACTATGACCTCTGGGTAATAATCTTGAGCATCTGTGTTTTCCACACCCACACTTCATACTAACTCTGAGCAGGTTTTTATGATGGAGCTATAGAGTTTTATAGTATTAAAGAGTTCACACTGAAAGCAGAGAGCGAGCATGTTGAATGTACTCAATGTTTGAGTGGGCTTTGATGGGCTCTGTTCTCCCACAATGCATTGCACAAAGGAAACGGAGGATCTACTCCCAGCTGAAAAAAAATGAAATGACATGTGGGTGTTGAGAAAACCAGATAAATAATCAAAATCTTTCTTTATGTTTAACTGGCAGTTTGATGGACATGTGTGTCTTTTATTTCCTGTCAAATCACTGAAACTGATGGTGATGGTCAGTCTAAACTGTAGAGAACTGGTTTATAATGTGGATTCTGGACATAGTGAAGTTTACAGCAGTGCACACGTACAAAAGACATAAAACAATGAGAAAAACAATCTCGTGCACTTAACAACAACACACATCAAAGTCTGTTTGTGTGTGTGTGTGTGTGTGTGTGTGTGTGTGTGTGTGTGTGTGTGTGTGTGNTGTGTGTGTGTGTGTGTGTGTGTGTGTGTGTGTGACTGTGACTGTGACTGTGAGGAGGAATTATGAAACCTGTTCAGAAAATAAGCCACTCTGTGGAAAATGAGCCTGATCACAGCTGAACACACTCGGGATGTTTTCACATCTCAAAGTCTGGAACAAGGTTCATGTCTTCGTTACATTGTTGACATTGATCTGGTTAGTTTTGGTTTCACATGGAAATTTAGGTAGAGCGCTAAAGATTTTTGTACGACATGACAACGACATGATTATCAAATTTTATTTGTAAAACCAATATTCAAAAACAAAAATAACAAAAATCACATTTTGCCTTATAGGGCTTATCAAGGTGCAACATCCTCTGTCCTTACCTCAACTAGAGTCAGGAAAAACTACCAGAATAACCACTTAGAAACAGCAGAGAGAGTCACACGTGAGGGGTATCCTCTACCAGGATGGACAGAAGTGCAATAGATGTCATGTGTAACAGTCCAATAATGTCCTTTCATTATATCGTCTGAGGTGAAAACTGCATCTTTTTCTTCTTCTATTGTTTAATACCGTCTCTCTCTGCTTCCTGCAATTGTTCTGAAACAAATGTTTCTGCACTTCAAATGATCTGAACCATGATTCATTTGAACCCAGCTGAGCTCTTTCGGTCAGACTAAAATCTGGCCCATCGGTCCGAGGCACCTTTCACACCTGTTATTTTGGTTCAGACTAGACTTGAAAGACAGAAAGTCTGAACAGGGTAGATGTGAACGTGCTCTCAGTCTTGTGCTGTTTGAGAAGCTGGTTTGAACTAATATTTAGATAATGAGGATGAAGATGGTGATAAACCTCATCATCAAACTGACTCAGCTGTCCCTCCCTCACCTTCATGCAGGACTATGACCTGAGCCAGCTGCAGCAGCCCGAGTCTCTGGACCACATCATCAATAAGCCGGCAGGAGTGCGCAGGGTGGACGAGAGGCCTGTGATCACTGAGTCTCAGTACCCGGTCAGACCCAGTCTGCCTCACCCCGGAGACATCGGGGACTTCATTCATGATGTAAGCTGGAGACGTGTTGTTTCTGTAACTGTCTGTGTTTATAGTCTCACACATGTTCACAATGTTAATGTGACAGCATTAAGTTGGTTGGTTTTAGAGTTTTGTCTCGGAAAGTTTTTTTTTGGGAACATCACTCAACAGAATTGATTATCTTTAAAGAGCTCAAGAGAGACGAGCAAGGGTTTAGTTTTTTTTTGTCTACAATTGTATTTCTGTCAGAAGAGGCGCTGCTGGAGACACTTTATTTGGCCCCTGTTTACAGCCCAATGTCTGGCTCTGAAATAACATTCAGACCATGATGGGACATTTTAACCGTGACGGGTGGGTGAGCGAGATTAGACCAAGTTTATTGCACCTTTTACAGTCTGGCACCCTGAGCCTATTACTACGTGAAAAATCATCACCTCCATTATTCTGTAGGTGAAGATCCTGATACAGTGTGTAAGAACAGTAAATACTAAAACTGTGACGGTTGCAAATCGTTTATTTTCCGTCCTTCTTGTCTCTGTCTCTCCAGGGTCTGAGGGCAGCAGACAATGACCCCACGGCTCCTCCCTACGACTCCCTGCTGGTGTTCGACTACGAGGGCAGCGGTTCCACCGCCGGCTCCGTCAGCTCACTCAACTCCACCAGCTCAGGGGACCAGGACTACGACTACCTCAACGACTGGGGGCCTCGCTTCAAGAAGCTGGCCGACCTCTACGGAGGAGGGGACGATGACTGAGAGCGGTGCAGGGGGCTGGGCGGGGGTCAGGAGAGGCAGGGTCGTACGGATGGACGCTCCTGGGAAATGCGGGCAGGGGCCAGGAACATGACGCAGGCTCCATGGTGGACATGTGAGGAACAGACCCTTACATGGGCTGTGTCACTTTGCTCACAGCAGCCATGCCCGCAAACATGAATTCCGCTGCAACGCAACTGTATTCTGGCTTTATATTTTTTTGTGGCGAGTTTTGTAGTGCAATGTTTTGTTTTGTTTTGTTTCTTTTGGTTGTTCTCTCAGATCGCTGGACCCGGAGCTCTCTGGGGACAAATCAAGGCAGTCGAGAGAAACTAGTGAATTTGTGCTTTGATTGATTGTTAAAACAGAATCATCTCTTGCTTTAGTCTCACACTGAAGAGAATGTGTTCAGGAAGACGCTCTCTGACTCTCTCTCTCTTTCACTCTGTCAACTTGAATTTCCTTAGAACAGAAGCACTGTCATTTTTATAAAGTGCCTTTTGTGGTGTGTTTTTGTATCAGACTCCTGCTATCTCAGGATCGGTTGCCAGTCGTGAAGTACAGTGAAGGCACGTTCGCTCGCGGCCTACCTGCGCTCCTCAAACCAGCCCTGCCTGTCACTCTCCTCTCCCCCTCACAGTGGTGTAGACGAACAACCCCAGCAGCCACTCGCAGGAGGGAAGGACACAACCAGGGCGGACTCTCCTACATCAAAACCCAATGAAACGTGGCCGAAAAGAAGCCAATGAGCGTTGTTGTGGATGCAGACAACCCTCTTCTCCATGATCCTGCTCAGTTTGACTTCACAAGCATCACCTGTCGACACAACCACAGCAACACGCTGACATTGGCGTGAGACCATTTTTATACACGTGGGGGTTTTCTAATTTAGCGGAGAATGCCTGCCTTTCCTCTTTGGACTCATGACGTTAGGAGCCTTTATTTTGAGATGCTTGCCTGCCCTGTATGGTTTTGTGTTGCTTTCTCCACAGTGTAAAGCTTATGTAGGCATGATCTGATTAGTCAGACAGTGTAAGAAAGTGGAGCTTGAAATGACTCGGAACAAAGGCATCTGATAAAGATTTCTTTTGTGTTTTTTTCTGTCGCCTTGAACATTCCTGTTTTTTATAGGCCAAACAAAACTATTAAAAGGTGCATGTTTTTTTTTTTCGAAATGTTTTACTCAAAGCACTTGTTACTATGTGGTGAGAATGTGAAAATAGTCAGCAGAAACTATATGAATATACTCTGTATAAAGACACTGAGAAAATAAAAATACTGTAAGATACCTATTTTTGAAGTATTGATGACATTAAAGTTGCTGCTCTTTTTCTCCAGCTCTTCATCGGGCTGAGGGGATTTTTGGCCCATTCATTATTGACATGTGAATATTTTAGTTTTCTCGTCTGTTGAAGCGTCATCACATTTTTTAAGATGCCTGCTTATACATTTTCTGTTTCCGTTTTGCTCTTTTTTTTTTCATTTTTACAAACGCTTTGTTACACTCCTTTTCTACATGTATATATATATATATATATAAAACACAGCCTTCTCCTCTCACTCTGTATTGTCTCTGACAGACGTGCTCCTCCTGTCGCCCTCTGGCCTCAGGACAGTGGAAGGTTCATTAGCCATGCCTGCTGATAGCTGTTCTATTATTCAGTGTATTGGAATTCTTTTACCCATTCATCTAGATACTGGATGTGTGCTTTAGAAAATAAACAAGACATGTTTTGAAGATGTGCCTTCTTTTTTTAATATTCTTTACTTTCAATCGCGACATCATTTCACATATGATGACACTCCCAGCTGTAGGTCCAGTGTGTGAGATTTAGGGGGATTTACCAGAAACAACGATTGTTTTGTTTTCATTTAGTTAGAATGAGTCTTTCCTTGTTGCATCACCATGTGAACCCACAACAGACAAACCAAACACTGGCTCTGCAGAGGGCCTTTCACTTGTATTGTATTGTGTAACCTGAAGGCCCCTGTAGTTTCACCTACATGCTTGGACTGGGAGTTGGAGGGGGGGGTCATTATTTTCACAGTTAGTTAGATGTCACAGAATCCTACACACTGAAACTTTGACTTGTCTGAACTAGATTAGACTTAAAGCCACTGTGTGTTAATGCCAGTACTGGTAAAACCACAGGTTGTGCAGTTGACAGCAATAAGGTGGTGAAAAGTGGGATGAAGTCATCAACTGTATATAAAGATGGACGACACGTCGCTACTCCCCCGATCCTGCAGAAATATCCCAGATACGGATGCCACCATCTTTTGATGTAATTAGACTTAGACACTGTCTTGAACGTGGTATGAAGCTGCAGTATCGAGGTCTCGTTGTCATGTCAACCAATCACGAGTCAGTCTCAGCTGTCAATCATGATGTTCCGCCTGGTTTTTACAGCATGAAATCACGAAACCAAAGTTACTGGAAAATGAAAACTTGAACATACATCAGTGTGATGAGAACGACCAAAAATGGAGGAGGCGGGGTTTATGACCTATACTGCAGGCAACCACCAGGTGGCAATTGAAATGTTTTGGCTTCACTTTAGGGAGCTGCTCTGTCATCCATGTTTATTTATAGGTTGGAATCAACAGACTCATCATCAGTTTTCATTAAGATTGTCTCATGTTTTCAACAAACACTGATGCCGCCAGAATAATTTGAAATAATTACACAAATTCTCCACATGGTGGTTTTCTATTCACTGCTTTTCTGTCTTTATCTGTTCATGAAGTGATTGGTTTGTAATTAATCACTGAATCATTGTACCTTGTACTTTTTACAGGGTATTAATGTACTTTTAGTGTTAGAAAGAGTCACGAGGCAGAAGAGGCTGCTGCCTTTGGATTTACACAGTTAATCTTTGAACCTATTGTTTGGATATGACTCCACTTTCTAATAAAACATCTGTTATTCTTCTCTTTGCTGCGTCTCAGGCCAAGAGCGTTACAGCAGCATATGGGGGTCAGGAAGTATATTTGTGTCCAATCCTGTGATTTCAATTAGTCAGCTGAAGTGCCAAAAAACCCACTGGGGACTTAAAGGGTTTTAATCCTCTCTGGCTGTGTGTCTATCAATTAGCCACACCATTAATCCCCACGGCGTAATCTCATTAGATAGAGCGCCTTTAATGAGACACCCAGAGAGAAAGCGGAGAGGCAGGCAGTAAGAGAGAGGGTGAAAAATGAGGCAGTGGCGAGACGCAGGTAGGCCATGCGGAGAGGTGATTAGGAGGATGGAAGAGAGGGTCAGCGGAGGGAGGGAGTGCAGGAAGTGAGCTGCCAGCACAGCAGGGACGATGCATAACATTTAGAAAATAGTTTTTAGGTGGGGGTTGAACATGAGGAAGTAAAACAGTCATTCTTCACTTTGAATCGTTCTCAATGGTCAGAAATCTGATGAGTAGAGAAGACAGAGGTGAGCAGAGCTAATGGAGCATGCTGGACTAGTTAATGAGAGATGATTTGATTTCCCCAGTTAATCTACACTGGAGCGTCCCAGTAATGAGGAAGTCCAGTAATGAACTAAAGTTAACCTTTACAGTAACACAGTGAATTCTTCCTTGGGCCCTGCAGAAGTGTGGAGCCATGTTAATAAACCCCCCATCAGACGTGGGCCACACCACTTGAAAAAACAATCAAGTTGGTAAAAGTGGTCTTGGTCACGGCCGGTCTGCAGATAAGATTAACTTGAGGCAGGGTTTTCTTTGATGGGCTTAGCTGAAGTTCACTTGGTTTCCCTGTGGCAGATGGGCAGAGTGAGAGAAGAAAGTAAACTCTAGTTGCCTCCTTGATAAATGGCATATATAGACTGAGAGCTTTGCTGCTGGCTCGCAGCCAGTGCCTTGTGTGTTGTAAATAAAGTTCTCCTCTTCAAACATGTCCGAGCCAGGCTCTTTTCATTTCCTCTCCATAAAGCTAGTGGGTCTCTGGGGCCAGCGCTGGGAGCGGTCCAATCAGAGAAAAAACAGCGGCTGATGTCGGTTCTGACGCCGGCTGCGTGATCAAGTGTTCACAGTTTAGTGTTGATGCTGCTGTGGAGCCGAGGTACCACCGGAGATGAGTTGAGTGCCGGCTGCGTTTTCTGCTGACACCACTCTGAACCTCCTGCTATTTCAGGACTCTGTCTAAACTGAGATCAAACAGCAGAATAAATTTGATGTTCCTGCTGCAGGCAGGGGAGAGAATATCTACTGTTTAATGACCAGCTATTTATGGTATGGATGGCTGGTCCAGTGGACGCACCCACACACTGCTATTACCAAGACTGAGTGCTTATCAGTCCAAGCTGAATCACTCTGCATGCTCCATCAACAGCCTTCGAAAAGAGCATCTCCTACAAATCACTGTTGTTTTTTACAGCAGTGTCTCATCAATAGAACCAAGTAAACTCTCTCGCTGTTATCATTAAAGTACATCTATTACAAGAGGTGGAGAGTAACTGAAAGAAAATACTGACTTTCTAATGCATTGTGCTTTATTATGTAACTACACAAACTTCACTTACACAAAGGTATCCAGGGGTGGGGCCAGGGGGGCACTTGCCCCTGCCCTAGATTGAGCCTGCCCTGTCAATAGTCTTAAACAAAATCACTTACTAATAAAACTAGCAATAAATAAGACAATGTGTTGAATTTAGATTTTCTAAGCTTAGCAGGCTTAGCTTAGCTGTGGCTCCGGAGGTTGGCAGTTCGATCCCCATCTGCCCCATTCTGCATGCCTAAGTGTTCTTAGGCAATGTACTGAACCCCAAATTGCCCCTGACGGCTGTATCAGCAGTGTGTATATGATGTGTGACTGGGTTCTCTAACACTAGAAAAGCGCTGAACATTCACTACTTTGAAATTTTGTTCAAAGCTATAGAGGAAACAATAAACAAGGAATCACTTAAATGTGCATCTTACTGAGTCAGGAATTGTTCATGGGTGTTGAACATATAATTGTCCCCTCTGTGTAAATTGTGGCTCCTTCATGGCCCCTGATTTAGAGAAACAATAGATCCGCCTCTGTTTTGCAGATTGCATGTAGGACATGAAGTCAGATACATGAAGTTCAGTTTATGTGTCAAAGAGAGAATAAGTCTGTGAAAACACTTCCCCAGTAAGTTTGTGCTTGAGATTTAAAAGATGAAACAGAAAATCTTTGTGTGACTTTGAGAGAAGATGTGAACATGTACATTTTTACATTATTATGAGCAAAAACTGAACACAACTGCTCAAACATACTTTCTATATTCATGAACACATGTAATATAATCACAGTGAATGATGGCATGGCCCCCGGGTCATTTGTGACACATGTACATGAACGCTGCTGCTGCTGCTGCTGCTGCTGCTGCTGCTGCTGCCGCTGCTGCCTCTGCAGAGACCTACTACCGTACTCTGTGTGATTTCATGCCAGAGTGCAGAGGGAGAGCTGCACCGCGTCCTCGAGCAGAGCTGCTTCTCTAATCAACTGGATATAATTCTTCACCTCAGCCACAGGTTAAGTTTCTTCCCCAGGACACCGGCTCCGTCTCTAAATGGTAGAAGATGATTCCTTCGCAGCCTGAGTCTCTGGTGTCCTGTAGGGTACAATCAAGCCTCCATTCCCATCTGCCCCTCAATTTCCCTCCGTCGGCATCACTCCAGGAAGACAGAGCAACATTTAGCATGAATTATAGATGCACAGCACAGTCATTAGTTTATATAAATAATTGACCACCACATGTGTGCACTGGCGTGGGTCTTGTAAATGTGATGAAGATATTACAGCATCATGATGGGGGAGCAACGAAAACGTATCTGACCAATGTAAGAGGATTAGTCAGTTCTCTGACTGATCTTATATGTGTCTTATCTAAATTCTTATGTGTCTAAAGCATAGTTTACATCTGCTTCACAGTGATTCACAAACAGACTTTTTCACAGACAATTAATCTAATTAATTAGTTAATCTGTCTATTTCTGACAAATGTTTTTCTGAGGTCAGATGGTGTCATGCTCATCTGTAATTTGATGTTAAGGCCGTAGCTGTCCCCTGTCTCTGTTAGTGTGTCTTGGTGTGTTTCTGGAGTCTGTGGAGTCCCAGGATGCTCCTCCTCCCCTCTGGCTGGTGGTGAAGACCCAGATCCGGATTGGAGCGGCGTCCACCCAAAGCAGCCAATGAGCAGGAAGAATCCCAGAGGGCTGTCAGTATAAATTCTGCCCAGCTGTGTCAGTCGGAGCAGCTGTATATCATGAGTGAACAGCTCGCCAAACTAGCTCTTGAGATTGCCTTTGTATTAAGAGATGATTTTGCTGTTGCATGAGAGTCAGACCAGAATTGTTATTAGAGAATTTATGTCTTTTGATTTGAACTAGTGTTTTGTTCGTCTTGGTTTATGTTATATTTGTGTAGCTCTTGTTAAGAGTCCTCTTTTTGTTATATTTGTTTTCTTTATTTGAAATAACACTCTGTTGCTTGCTGTTGCTGTTAGTTCAATATACATGCATTGTCCTTAACAATCTTGAAGTTTAAATAAACTTAACAATCTTACAATCACAAACATCTGGTTTTCTGTTGCCACCTCATTCCTATCGAGCGGGGTCGTAACAGATGTCTTCCCTTAAATGTCCTTTCTCTTTGGGATAAACTTATCTTCAGTTGAAACTCGTCGTCCCTCCTTTGTGAAGCCTTGAGCTGGGTTGTGACAGCTGAAATGCTTTGTCTGAATCTGGAATGAACTGCCAGTGACACCATGAGGTTGACATTTTAAGTTTAGGGAGGAAGTACATTCACTGCACTTGGTTTTTCTTCCTGTACTTGGATTTATGATAATCATCATCAAATCATTCAAAGTAATAATATGCAGGTCAGCCTCAGCTCTACTTTGGGTTTAGTGCAGTAGTTAAACTAGATATAAATGTGGTTATGTACAGAGCTGCTATCCTGGCACTGGACAAATGCCAAAGAGGTCATGTTTTCTTCTGTGTTTGTTAGTTGTTAGCAGCATTACACAAAAAAGGCAGATTTCCATGAAACTCTGTGAGAGGAAGTGGTTTGGGTCTGGGAAGAACCAATTCAATTTTAGTGTGGCTCCAGATCAGGGGTCTGGATTTGTTCTTATTTTCTTTAACATTGTGTGATTGACATCTTAATGAAAAAATTCAGGCATGTGTAAAATAATAAATTCTATGAAGAGATGAAATTTGCTTCAGAACCAGATGAGGATCCAGATTTTGTGACTGAAAACAAGTAGTTTCATCAGAGAATGGATATTTTTGCTGTGTTTAATGCAGTTTGCAGAACATTTCGGTGTACATGGTTTGTGTATCTGATCTCAGTGTGAACTCAGTGTGAACGGTACAGTTGCCAGTCAGCCTTGGTGGAGGTATGTACTATGGTTACGAGGGATAAGAGATTCTGTTCTACCACTATCTCCAGACTTTGATTTAAATTAGTCACACATGTATTTCTGTAGAGTCACTGGCATTATAACAAGATCAATATCAAACAAAATACTGTTCACCTCAATTTAAAAAGAAGATTAAAGATCAGTGGGTTGAAATGCAAATGGCCGCTCAGACCCTCACACCAGCCTGTGTTGTTCAGCATGTGGCCCCTCAGCTTAATAGTTGTGTGCTGAAGAACATCGTGTCCGACGTGTCTCCTGTATGAACCACAGGTGTGATTGCTCAGCACACTCTTACAGGAGAGGACTTTGTAAATGGAGATGTTTCTCTCCTGTGGGCTGACACTGGCTGCTGCTCGGCCTGATTCAGCTCCATTAAAGAGGCCAACAGGCTGTTAACCCCGGCATCAATACCGCACAGGTTCAGCCGCGCTTACAAACCCATTTCAGCAGCGCTCGTAAACACTGGCCTTATTATAGCATCTCCGGGCCAAAGCAGGCCAGCCCGGTCAACCCCATAACAAAAGAAACCTAAAGTCAGCATTAACCTGGGTGGAACGAGGGCACGGAAGCACAGGAAATGGAGTTGTGAGGAGGTGTAAACTAATGGACTGTTGTTCCATGTTATATTTCAGTGATTCCTCATGAGAGGCTGAAAATCATTCTCTTTCACTCCTGGATTTAAGTGGTTATAGGCTACTGGAAGCGTGCATCTAAATGGATGATAAAGTGCAGCGACTGAATCACACTGTGCCACATCACTTCATCCAAATCACATTCTCCTGTCGCTCATAGGAGTTTTATTCATAAGCTCAAAGCTTAATCAACACTATGCAAGGAGGCGTTGAAAAGGATCAAATTGATTAACTGTCTTTTAGTATTGCATTTGTCTCACAGCGTGAACACGGCTGGATTACGGGTGGAATTCTGAAGTCTCTGGTTTCCGAAGTAATGTCATTGTAGAAAATATCACAGCCCTTCTTGTTCATGTAGCTATAGGGGTCTTACCTTAATAAAGGATTTCATAACCTTCTGACTCGTGTAGGAAATGGGGGGTTGGGGGAGCCTTCATCAGCCTCGAACCATCATTAAATCTGAGTCCCTCCGTGAGCGTAAACAAGCTGAGAATTTTAGACCGGAGACTCGTCATGAAAGTGCATGAGGAACAGCCAGCTGAGAGGCACCATCAGAGCAGTCGAAGCCCATCGGAGATCAGACCAAAGCTCCCATAACTTAATACAGACAAACAGTCTCACACACACACACACACACACACACACACACACACATCTTCTTGCTTTAGATTATATAATCTCACCCTGGAGGAAAAAGCAAAAATGACAACACTGAATGTAACAAATTAACAAGAGCTCCCTTCAATGATCGCCATGGAAGGAAACAGGGATGTTACTTATTCCCCTTCCTCCCTCTGGCAGCCTCAGGGTGTTTACCCAACACCCTCAGGTGCCGCGACAGATACGTCGCTAGGCAACGGCACCATCCGTGTTGTTGCACTGCCTCTGGCACTCAAGTGGGAGCTTATGTGGACTTAACTCTGAAAGAGCAGCGGTGTTGAGGAGTGGAAGGGGGATTACCAGGAAAAATATTGGATTGGGATGAGGCACAAAGGGCGATGGCTCACCTGAATCACCAGACAGAGATGCCATGACGGACTGTCAGGCCACACTGGGCCTGGGCTTGTGACAGAAAGCCTGGTTTATCTGGCTTTTCATTTCATCTACCACACGCACTACTTCTCAGTGTTTTGTTGTGGTTGTTGTAAAATATTAAAAAAGCCAGTGAGAGTGAGTGCGACAGGTTGAACTCAGTCTGTGTGGTGGATATTGAGCACAAGATGCATGAACATCTTCATGTTAAAGTCAACCAAATGTAACCAGGTAATACTGAGTGTCAACAAGAACCTGAGGATGTACTTTCAGTCCATGTCAGCAGCATGTGATGTGGTCAAATGAGCTATTGCCACCTAGTGGCTCCTACATGTACTTTCATTATGGAAAATGAAATTGAGGCTCATCACCACTTATGGCTCGAAATCTACTTATTGTTCCTCTTTGGTCGACGCAGATACAAAAGCTGCTCCCAATCATTCTAACATCAGGCCACTGTCCCGCTGGCACAGCAGCCTGATTATTTCCAGCCCGTGGTTGTGGTGAATGTTAGCAGCTGATGTGGCAGCTGTTGCCACTGCACCGTGTGTTGGGCTGATAATGGAGACGGACTCAAACAAGACAGCCCAACAAAGAAGAGCACAGGCTGGTGGCAGAATGTGTGTGAGTGCACTTTCCTTTTGGGTCGAGCTGTGTTTAGCTCATGGGAATTATGTTCAATAGATGCATGCATAGACTCAGGGGAGACGCACTGTGTTCTACATGTGGCCCTGCAGATGTTAGATGATTATCTGCAATTATCTGTGAACAGGTAGAGGAAGAAGGAATTAAAGGCATTCAGCTCCTTTACAACAAAAACTCATCCCCACCTGCTAAACACGCCTACATCTTCTCACAATGCAATGCCGTCCCCTAGTGGATAATAATAGAACACATGTTTATGACCCAGTGTAAACAGCAAATCACAAGTTACTGTAAAATAATTTTTTATTCAAACTTTCAATAGAGAAAATGTGTTTTTCTTTACGTTGTATGGGTATATTCTTGACTCTATACAAAACCATGTGTAAAACTTTAGGTGTAACATTTACAAATATACAGGAAGAAACTCCAGTTTCTTTAGTCATAGGTACTAAAAACATAAGGGGCTGTCCAGTAACACACAAAAATAGAAGCAGGTCAGGAAATGATTTGAGGATACCGTCAGTCACTATTAAAAGAGTAAAAAGCTGTGTTGGTGGGAAGCTACAAAAATAGAAATTTCAGGTAGATGTATGTTTGGTATCGCAGTACAGGTGAGATGCTTTCTGAAACCTGCTGAAGTGTTAGAAATGAATAAACATCAAAATTAATTTTAAAAGAACAATTAACAGATTTGTGTTTTTTCTTCACACACACTGAAATCTACACACACCACTAAATGTGTTTTTAATCGCAGCTACATGAAACAGCTGGTATTACATGAAGTTAAATAAATAACTAATCATTAATTTAAGTGTTGAGCTACATGAATAAATATGCAGAAAAATCAGGTAAAGACTTGGAGGTGACAGAAAGAGAGCGAGCTGCTGCCTCAGGAGACACAGCAGAGTTAATAGTTTCAGGGTGGCTATATGGCTTATTAATAGTTAGGAAGGCAACTCAGTAGGTTATACAGTTTGAAGCCAAAACTAACTCAGTTGACAGAAAAAAACTGAATCATCATCAATCATCAAAATTAGTCGGTGGTAAAATAAAACAAATGATTTTCATTGCTTTACAGTCTTCTGCACAAACAAATAATCAGAAAATAAACTGTACTGTTCTGCAGTGCATTTTTATACAAGTCATTTGTTCATACAAAAACCCTTTATTATAACCCTTTTTTGAAAAATAAGTTGTACGGGCTGAATAAAGGGGCAGAAGTCCACGACTGCTCTGAAAGAAAATGGGCGTTATCTGAGGAGAGAGGAAGAAAGGCCGTCACATGGAGCTACTGTTGTGTTTCAGGTTATCAGGTTCGAATGAGAAAACTTGAAATGTGCCAAACAGCTGCTCCTCTCCTCTTCATACACAAGAGTCTGTTACACTGTCTGTGGTGGGAGCGGCCGGTCTCTCCACACACTTCATTTCCCCTCCTCTCTTCTCCTCATCCTCCTCTCTGACATCAAGCCTATTTCAGAAAGCCCTTGTAAAGGAAATGAGAGTGACTGGTAAACCTCTCGTTCTCCAAACAGAAGAGCAGGTCCCTGAGATTGACGCGTGTGATGCGCTGCCGCGTGGGTCTGGAGCTCGACGAACCCGCCCCACCAGACAAAGAGGGACCTGCTCCTGATCCCTGCAGGATGAGACAGAGAGACACAGTGAAAAATAACCATCAGAGAGAACTTTCACATCTAAATGAAATATGTTGACCAATAAGGAGAAGTCTGGGTTTCAACAAGTTCAACACTTTTTAAGACCATAACAAAGGAAATTTAAGAACTATGTCAAGTACAACCAATACGAAGCAGAGACAGTAGGTGTCCATAGTGGCATTAAATGAACATTAACATTATCAAGACCTACCCGAACATATTTAAGACTTAGTACATAATATCTTATATTTATAACTTTTTAAGGCCTACAGTTCAGATTATTATATTGTTTGGCTTTTTTGTGTCTTTTTAAGGCTGTGTGGAAACACTGGGAGAAGTGGAGTTGGTTAGTGTGGTCACTGTGTAAAAGCACCGTCTGGCTCAGGCCTTTGTGTTTGAATGTTCTTTTGCATGGTTTTCTTCAGGATGATCCATAGACATACAGTTTAAGTCAGTGATTCCCAATTGGGGAGGTTAGCCTGACTTCTGCAGTTGCTTGGGGAGCTGAAGAAAATATTACAGAAAAGCTGAACTAATATGAATATGAATAAATACATTTTATGATTTTATTTAAAACTAGCAGGGCCTTCTAAGAGCCAATACCTCTGCCAAAGATAATGGACTATCTTGTGATGTTCAAGAAAGAGAAAAGAAAATCCTTGATCTTCCCCTGGATCTTTTTCTAAAATGTTTTTTTCCCTGACCCAAGTGTTGCTGTAATCATCCAGTAGTTTTTGTATAATGATGCTAACTAACAGACAAAGAGCGATGAAAACATGATGGATAAATGCTCAGAATAGATAGATTTAAAAGAAATGGATAAATAGTTGAAATAGCTGAAGGAAGTGGATGAATGGTCAGAATAACTAAAAGATGAGCTGGTCTCAGTATTTCTGTAACTGTTAATATTTAAGGCCTGCAGCCATCGCCTGTGTGGCTTGAACTACACAACTCAATGTCTTGTGTATAACACTGTTTTGTCCACTGTGTGTTTGTTTGATTTCACCATCTTTCACACCACTTGCTAACTGCCGCAGCAATTTGCTTTGTTCTGACCGGGATACAATGCAGCTATGTGTCTTTTTTCTTCTATTTTTCAAGGAAAAATATAACTAAGTCTACAAGAAGGAAAACAGAATAAAAGCAGCTCTATTGTCACTGGGGGAGAGTATGTGTACAAATAAACACTATCTTTAAATTATAAGAACCTTTGTGAGATAAGGTAAATAAAAGTACAGATATAACACATTGTTTTCTGAGCAATTGTTTTTATAGACCCATTCCTGTCAGAGACAGTTACACAACACAGCGTCATTTGTTCCAGCAAATGGCTGAAAATGTTTTTTGCAGAACAGACTGTGCTCTTGTAGTAGTTGATTCAGTGGGGGCTGAAAGAAACACGAACACGAAATAGAGCCGAATTCAAACGTGTGAAAAATAAAGCTACACTGTGGCTCAGGAGCCATGAATCTAGATGTGTAGTGGAGAAAAGAAAAATCAATGAACTGCAGTAACAGGGATGTGTAGACTGTAGAAGGTCCGTCACATTGTGAGACCACAGCGTTGTACTGATTAAATGTGACGTGTTTGAATTTGATCTGTGATTACTAGAGTCAGCAGACAGCGGGTCTGAGTCTAGCGCTCTGCACGAACTGATGAGAAACTTCATTAATATTTTTTTTACTCAGAACAGAGAAGACTGAATGTTTTGTCAGGGTAGTGTGGACTGTTAGTAAGGGACCTTAACAGTTTAACACTCACATGAGCTAATTCTATAACCAATCCATTTCACTCATAATCATTTATTTTCAAATGTAGCCTGGCGATACTATTGCTCTCACAGTTATCACCTCAGCAGAGAAGGTTATGTGTTCACTGATGACTGCTGTATCAGTGTGAGAATGGTTTGTGTTAGAAATGTGTGTGAATGGGTGAATGCAACTTATTGAGTAAGGATAAACAAGACTGGGCTATGTAAAATACAGTCCATTTACCCCTTACTCTTTGTTTGTTGTCAGCAGGATTACGCAAAATCTAACTAACAGATGTTCATGGTGAAAGGATCGGACACGGGCCAATAAAGAATCAAATTTTCGCGCTGGTTTGGTCATTTTTTGACATTTTTTACCGAATTCCCGGGGAGGAACTTACGGGGGCATTATACCTGATTTTGGAATTATTATCGAGAACTATTCCCTAAAAATCAATGAAAATTCCCCAAAATACTCACAATATCTCAAATTGTTGTAAAAGAAGATTTTAAAAAATCCTGGATATGCCCCCTGATCCAGATCCACACTGAACTATTTTATTGATTGTTTCCCATACCCCATGATTCTGCCAAGTTTTGTGGTAGTTTATTCTTACAAACTAACAAACATGTGATGAAAACAACCTCCTTAGGGGAGGTAACAGTGACCTGTCATTAATGTTACCTCAGCTGCAGCAGCGGAGGATTGAGAGTCCAGGATTTTCCTCTTCTTTCTGGGGCCAATGGCTGCCAGTGCCGTCAGGTTGGCCTCCCTCTGTCTCATCTGAGCCAGTTCCTGCTGCTGCATCTGGAAGACACACACAGACCAACATGGAATTTAAGCATACGGTGCTTAACATACAGAGTCAGAAATGAGCTGACTGTTGCACCCCCTCCTCTCATCTTACCTCTTTTGCTTTCTGTTTCAGACGCAGCTGCTCCGGGTCCTCTTGCCTGGCTCGAGACTGCAGGGGCCAAAAGGCAAGATGCACGGAATTAAGAACTAATGATGACAGAATATTTCCACAACTAAAATATTTACTTTTAAAGCTGAGTTATTATGATTTACCCTGTCTCATCAAAAACATTCAATGCTTTAACTTTTTGTAAGTCCCAAAGATTAATTAAAGCCATCTTATTCTTTATATCAAAGAGTTACCAGAATAAAACCTGGTGTTATTAATTCAGCCCCAGTGCTTTGTAATATATAACACTGTATATTTTATTCAAAGCACTTTGAGTTACATCCTAACAGGCATCCTGAGTCAGAATCAATCGCTAGTGAACATTTGTCAAACTCTAGAGAATATAGAGAAGCTGCAGGATACCAACACACAACATTTCTATTAATAATAAAATGACTCTAATTTCATCTACATTTCAATAAATAGAAGAGTAAAATAATATAATAAGAAGAAAACTGGAGCCTGGTCACTGCTGAAAGTCTATTTAAAAGTAGTAAATCAATGACGTTCAACCTGGATGAAATACATTAAAGCAACCAAAATGCATGTTTTAAAGGTTGCATATGTTTTTTATCAATGTCCCCCAAAAAATGTTCTGTGTTTTTATTACAAGAAAAATTATGTGAAGATGTCCAAACTTTACAGTTCATCACTTTTTAATGCAATGAAAGTAATATTGACCTGTGAATTTATTATTAAAATGTGATGTTCATGACTCTGTACCTTAGCTGCCTTCAGGAGGATCTCTCTCTCCTGCTCCTCCTTTCTTTGTTTCTCTACCAAGTCCAGTTGCTCAAAGAACTTGAGCTGAGCACGAACATCACTGTTCTGCTCATGCTTGTCATCCTCCTGCAAACATACGGTAGAAGAATTGTTGCTTACATTTCAAGATGCAGCTGTCAATTGCATGCTAAACGCAGCATAGTATTTTACACATCTCAGTGTCATGGCACCTGTATTATTTGTTTCTCTACAATAATCTGGTTAATAATAAATCCAAACCAAAAGAGAAAAAGCTTGTATTGCTTTTCACACCTTTAAGTTGACATTCTTCTGCTGGGCCACTTGGGAAACTTTTTCTAACAGGTTCTGGAGTCGCTGCTGAGTAGCATGGGAGACAAAGTTCACCACCTCCGCACCCAGGTTAGTCACACCATACCTACTCCCTGGAAAAGAAACAGTACAATTCGTCAGTGTTTTTGGAAATGGATGAATGGATGGATGGACACAGCATAGAAAGTAATGTTGTTCCAAGTTTAAGCGTCTCACCTATCTCCAGCATCCTCTTTTGCAACAGGGCGCAGGAGAGGAAAGCCTCATCCTTACAGGAATGTGTCACCGCTCCCACTAGTCCAGAATTGCTTGCTAAGATATTGGCGCTTTCCTCTGATAGGTTCACTCCAGCCATGGAGGCCACATCATTGATGTCGTCTTCATCCCTGTTAAATATAAAAGCAGTGAGACAAACCATGTCACTACTGACGACCTCAACTGATTGAGGCAGAAGTCCACCCACAGAGTCCAGTTGGAGGTTTCCTACAGTTCAAAGGGGAGTTTCTTCTCTCCACTGTAATCAAGTGTTTGCTCTTTGTGGTTGGATTTCTCTCTGTAATATTTTAAGGTCTCACCCTTACCATGCCAAATGCCTTAAAATAATGTATGTTGTGATTTGATGCAAATGAAATTGTATAGAATTAAATTTTATTAAAGAATCCACAAAGAAAGTGGGAATTCATGCAGTATTGAAACTTACGCATAATGTGTTCACTGATATTTATTAATAACATTTACAGTTATTGTTGCTCTTACTTGAAAGTGCTGCCCGCCTCTTTAATCTTGTTCTTGTGAGCTGCAGTCAAGGCTGTTACAGCAGAGAATTGTTTAGAAACAGTTGGCCCCTCTGGCCTCACAGGGACTGGTGGAGACAAACAAAACACACAATAAATGCTCTCGCTCATCTTAAGAAAGACATACACACAAAAGAAATCAGTGAACCTCACTTGGTTGCAGCTCTTTGAGCTGGACCTGTTGCTGTCCCAGCATGATGCGACCAGGGGCCTGATTCCTGAGTGTCACCATGGGGGTTGTCTGTAAGGTTACCTGAGGTCTCACTGTTGCTCTCTGCTGCTGAAGCTGCAGAACCTGAAAAGGATTCTGACTGTGTCATTATTACCACGGTGATGTGTATGTGATGTCTTGTTGTACAGTATCAGGTTATGGGAGATTTCAGTTGTGTTACTTTTGATATACATATAACTCAAAGTTTTGAACTCAGTCCTGAGTGATCAGATCATAAGTGGTCAGAGGTAAGCACAGGAGAGAAAGCACCCAAATACGTCTTGAATAGTAAATTGATTCTTAAATTGGTCAAATCTTTCTTCACAGCAGCTGCATGAGTCATTCAGTTCTTTCTTTCTCTAGCACTAACTCGCGTGGACACACAAAGACACACAAACAACTAGACACACGAATACACAGTGACGTCGGCATCTGTAAACTCAGACTGGGTAAAAACAACATAATTTGGTCTTCACGGACAGAAACAACATATGTCATTATATGCATATGAGTGGTGAAGTGAGATCTGATCACAAGTGGTCAAAGGAGACACATTTTAATGTCAGGTGTGATGAATACATGTACTTAGAGTTGACCACACGTGATCTGTTCCTTCCTGACAGATTTTAATACCAGGTCTGAACAAGGCATACACAACAGTCTAGTTTACCAGTGAAGCGGTCTGTCCTTGCTTGCTGACGCCTGGCTGCAGCTGCGGCCTGCTGATTGGGGCAGTGAGACGAGGGGCAGGGTTGCTTAGGACCACCGTAGTGGGGGTCGAGGAGGTGGAGGAGACTGGAACTGAGGCCAGCTGGGGGAGCTGACTCTGCTGGATGAATGCAGCTGAGTCTGGAGTGAGCTGCCTCAAGGCTGGGAGGCTTCTCTACATGAGACAAGCAGGCATATTAAAGATATGCACTTAAAAGATGTTTGCTCTGGCTCAAGAAAAATATATGACCGCTGATATTTGCTGGAGGGTACATCCCTGGCAATGAGTGCAGAGCAAGTGTTTTCTTACCTTGAGGAAAGGCACAAGGTAGGGTTGGGGTGAGGAATTTAGCTCTTTGTACAATCTGCTAGTGAATTCCTCAGCTTCCAGTTTTCCCTCCTAAGTACGACACAAAAAGGTACAGATGTTGTGTCTCCTGGTTGAAGGTTTGCCAGGATCTGTGTCATCTGTGTTTCACTTGTGTTTCTTTCATTAGTGAATTGACATTGTATGTATAGGTCACTCACCAGCAGCTGTTTCACCAGCTCTCTCACAATGGCTGCAGTCTCTGTTGATTGCTTCCCAGTGGATGCCAGTTTTATCAATGTAGACAGGAAGTTCTTACATTTCTTCACATTCTCCATTGTCTCCTGCCAGACCCACAACACATTCTGTTAATGAACCAACTCATGTTTTGTCTGTGAATAACTGTGTTATATGCTGTAGCATGCTCTATCTTCATCTTGATCATAAATACATGGTGAAATAAGAGCAGACACCCTGCTCCACTCGATCACTTGAACTCAGCACAACTCACTTTGCTTACTGTTACTGAGGTAACTGTGGTCCCAGCTGTTTGGCTGACAGTCCTGGGGGTCATTCCTGGTGCTGCGGCCCCAACTGAGCTCTGAGGAAAGACATCAAAATCACATGTTATTTACATAGCCGACAGGTTTGAAAACCTGACAGTTAAATTGTTAATGGAGAGAGTAGATTTTAGCTTTTTCAAAATTTCCCATTTTTAGTTCCCAACAGGAATCAGATGAGCTTCTCTTTGAGTTCATTTTGGTATTAAAAATAATTCAATTGTATTTATCACCTTTTTTCATGCAATGCTCACTGGACACAAGAATGACAAAAATGTTGTCACTATGGAATTAGTAAGTGTTTTAAAATAGGAAGTGTTTTAAAATAGGAAAACTACTTGATCTTGTGATCATCTTTAATATACTGAAGTGTACATCTTGTGTAGAGTCCAGCAGATCTTGAGCCATTTAGCTTAGAGCATTTATAGAATATTTTGTTATGAATAAGAACAATTACTTCAAGTCTAAGTCTCAGATCGGCTATAATAAATCCAGGAAACAAGGTTCAGGATTACCAATAAACCCGAGCAAATGAAAAACATGTATTCACACTTCACAATAATACATCTTTTAGAAAATGTGAATTTTTTATTTCACTGTGGAAAAATGAAACGGATAAACAACTAATATTATAGTGTATCATAATGTAAGATTGTGGTGCCTAACTAGTCTCTGTTACATGGTGTTCAGACACACACTGGACCCGCACCATCTATTTCATTTTATATGGACATAAAACCAATTTGGTTGATTTGTGTAACACTGTGAAAAAAAACATAACTGATTCATTAAAGCCTAGTTATCAATACTTAACATAGTCTTATCAAGTGAAAAGAGGACAGATGACTGATAAGACAATGGTGAAGAATTTGGTGCCAAAGCAAGAATGCAATATTTTGCAATCTGTTGAGTACCAACAAAGCCCCTAAAGTCCCAACAGGTGATATTTTTCTATTTAGTGGCTACAAGGCAACATCTTGTTCCCACATGATAAATATCTTTTGCACAAAAGAGAAATAACTTGTTTGCAAAAGATAATTAGTTTGTGGGAACAAGTAAATGCACATGCAGCAACCGATTTCTGCTGATGACAATCGCATGTCCTTACACAAGAGCGGCAAGCGGTATGGTGGCTGTGTACATCTGCAGTTGTTGGAGACACATGAATGTTTTGTAAATTATCTTGTGTGCATAATAAGGATATATCACTGATTGGACTTTAGGGGCTCCGTAGATTAAAAAGATTTAAGAATAAAATGAATAAGGCAATCTGCAACCTTTGTCTGATGAAGGTGGCAACATCTGGAGGTAACACACACACCTTCATATACAGTACTAAAGCAAGGTCGAAATCTAATAATCAAAGTAAGTGCTCTATAGATATTGAGCCTTCACGTCTTTTCTTGTAAAATGTTCAGTGTAATCTGTAACACCAGTGTTGTGACAAGTTAATTTCCTGATGGGGAAATTCCCACACTGGGCATCCCTATAGCGATTACCTGATTTCAATGATCTACACTTTGTGTGAATCAGATGAACGTAAAATCAGATGTGTTTCCATTCTGTGGCAAATGTGATTTGTGACATTGTGCTCAAGACTCGAGGCAATGAGTAAGAAAGTCCATAGTTTATACAATATATAGACACAAACAAATGTGCAACAAGCTAAATAAAGACAAGGAATGGTTTGACAACCACATGCAGAGGGAAGTTACCTGAAGAATAGGAGGTCTGTGAAGAGTGGTCGTCGCAGCGAGTGTAGTTGGAGTAGGACAGCCCTGTCGGATGATGGTGCTGGGAGCCACTTGTCTACTGATGTTTACAGGAGCCTGAGAGGAAGGGAAGGTAAAACACGATGTGAAACAAATAACTTTCATCCACTCAGAAAGTGCATCTGCTGAATCCCAAAATTGCCATGTTTCCTAAAATGTTACATAAATCAAGACTAATAACACAATAACATTCAACCACACTACTTTACATATAACAGCATGTGCGCTATAATAGATCTTATTTGATACTCAACAGGTGGATACCTTATACAGACAGGAAGGCAGGCTGGTCATGGGAATAAATTGATATTTGCCCATGTAAAGCTTTTGCTGAGCACACTGTATGATCTCACCTGACTAGGAGGCATGTTTGTCGGTGCTGCAGGTCGAGGTGTTATGCCTCCCTGCGACTGGGCCTGCATCTGGGCCAGAGCCTGCTGAGGAATCATCAGCAGCTGCCCACTCTCACTGCGTACAAGCACCATCCCTGCACAAAGGCAGACAACATATTAGACAATGCATGACAAGAGGCAACTTAAAGATAAATATATCATCAGCTGAAATCGCAGGGGAGAAGCAGTGTCAGTATCATTCATAACGGGACACACTTGGAAGAACAATACTTAACCACCATGTTTTGTGTGCACTGTTTACTTTGAGAGTGAAGTCAGCTGTATAAATCAGTGGAAGTAAATGTCCTCACTCACCCGGGGGCAGCTGGATGTTGTGCACACCGGGCTGTCCTGTGGAGGTATGGGGGAGCCTCGGGGCCAACATCTGAGGCGTCAGCGCTCGGATCCCACCTGGACCGGCAGCCACAGTCGCCGGAGCCCGGGGAGCACTGACTGCGGCGGAGGGGACAGCGGGCTGCGGTGCGGTCTGCATGATCGTAGTGGGCGGCTCTGCCTTGATAACGTGCGACCTGACGCTGACAGACCCCGGGGTGGACAGCTGGACATTGTTTACACCTGACTGTCCTGTTGCACCGGCCACCACCACATTATTGTTCCCATTCAAAGTTGCACCCGACCCCGCGGTTTGCATAGGCGGCCTGACGAGCGTCACGGTGGCTCCTGCCGCCTGGTTCACAGGCTGAGCCGAGGAGACAACACTCTGAGAGTTCATGGGAGGCGTCTGGATGACAGTGGTGGATGCGGGCGGCATGATGGCAGCCGACAGCCCTTTGGACACCAGCGCTCCGCTGCTGACAGCTGCCACAGACAAGGCAGCAGCCCCGTGAGCGGCAGCGCTTCCCAAAGAGTTCATAGTTTGGTTCCCATTGCAAGTCTGCACTGAGCCTACTTTCCCCTGGTGAGTGGAAGTTGCACCAACACCACCAACAAGTGTTTTTCTGCCAGGGTCGTGTCCTGCGGTGGAGTCCGTCGATGCGTCCATGGCTGAACCATGGGCACCTCGCTGTGACGAGACCCCCCCAGCTCCTCAACTTGTTCAGAAGCGGCACAAACACTCTGGGGTGTGATGGAGCAGGACTCATGCACCGGTCTGCTCTGTCAGCTCCGCTGTTCGTGGGCGCTCTTGTGGAGACAAAGAGGAAAACAACAGTTTCAGTTACCTGCTTTAACGGCCGTGTTGACCAACTACCAGCTGGACATTAGCCGCTGCCCGCTTGTCCCGGAACTATAGCCGTGTAATACGCGGCTGCTTCCCGCCTGCCCCAGTGGTTGTTGAGACTCAGGACGGATAGTTGTGACTCTACAGACCGGACAGGAGGACAGACCAGCGCTTTATTCACCTGTGTGTGTGACAGCAGCTCATCCAACGGGCCCGGGAGAGCCGCCATCTTCCCACTCCTGCGGGTTCATGAGAACTGTGTTTAGGTACTCACCAACTGACGTGCGCGTGCGCACAGCGGCCGGACGCCTCGGTGCGGGGAGCTGTGCGGGCTGTGATTGGCTGCTGCGCCCTGTAAGAGGCGGTGCCAACGGCTTCAGCTGTCAGTCCAGGGGCTGCGCGCCATGGATCAGCGTCGTGCCGGAGACCGAACGTCTCCATCGAATGTTCCGCCGCTGCCGCCGAGTTCTCTCCGTGCGGACGGCTGCACCGACTCAGACCCGCACCGAGCCCCTGTCGGTGGAGAGATACCGTGATTTTCAACGAGCTAAGGGGCCACAATTCTCAGTTTAGTCGGTCTCGACAAGCCGTGCAAGATGGCTGCACTGTTTTGGCTACTGAGTCAAGTTGCTGTTGTAAAGAGGCGTTCGAGGCCCCACCCTCCACTGAGAGGAAACACTGAGCTGTCACAGTCATGGGGTTTATGGGTTTACTGTGCTCACTGTTACACCCACACAGCACCAACACTAACTCCACTCTCATGGATCCAACTCTACTGTCCTTCTCATTTCACATCTACTGCACAGAGGCTGTGTGGGAAGCACCAATAGCTGCTTTAAGGACCATTTCTAATGATTGAACATTTGGAATCACATTTCAACATAAACATGGCAGTACAAGCTGTAGCCCGCTTTGACAAATGTCAAATTATAGGCTAGAGGAGACGCTCCTACTGTATTTTGCTTTTTAAACAAATACAGAAGGAGTGACTACATACCTGCGCCAAGGCCCAACAGTCTTCTTAAATTCCAAAAAGCCACATCATCAGCCACATCAAACTACAAACACTCATAGATAGCTGTCAATAAGATATGTGCCTGATTGATTATTTAATCAAAATGTCAAAGAGCTGCTCCTTTTTACAATGTTAAAGAAAGTTTTAAAAGAAATCCTTGATCCACAACTTTGTCTGAAAATACACCACAATTAAATAGATTTTTTATTGACCTATGTCCTATCCTTTCACATAGTTTTGTGGAAATCCATTGAATAGTTTTTATCTATTCCTGTTAACAATCTTAATAGAATGGCACTCAATAAAGCACATACCTCCATCAAGTTACACACCCTTGTAGATATCAGTTCCCTACATATACCAGAGCATTTTATGTCAGGGTCCACAAATCTTTCTCCATACATCAGAGAAAATGTAAAAACCCCACCCTATCTGGCAATGTGATGAAAACACTCCCTCTTGCCTGGAGGTGTTTCCAAGAATACATTTTAATTTCTTCTCTGGAAATGTTTGGTAGCTTTTTTTACAATCAAATTGCCAAACCAACCCAACCACCCAACAGGTGTGAATTCCTAACTTTGCTTGGCAGAGGTACAGAAAATATGTAGCCACTGTATTTAACACACAACTGCAACTCTTGTGTTTAACACACAACTGCAACTCTAAGTACTGCATCAAATTGACATTGCAATTTTTGTATAATTGTTAATGCACTGGCACATTTTATTTCATGTACTTCAACAAGAAAGGAAATAGGCATAGCGGTAATAAACAGAGCACTTTTGTTGCAGCTAAGAGTCTTTCTGTTCTTGAACTATGAACAACAGAAAAAAACATGTTTCCATACTGCTCGTGTGAGTTCCTCCAAGTGTCTCACATTCAAATTTGACTCAAACAGCATCATTTACACAAATGAAGGGAAAAAACATGGTGTAAATTATCTGGTTGCAAGTCGATTTCGAATGCCGGGGTTCACAGTCACTTGGATTAGTCCACAGGAGTAGCATGGAGACATGTTGTGTTTTTTTCTGTAGTTTTGTTTTCTGTTTGAAGAATTGGTCACCATTTACTTGATGGTATTGGATTTGACTGAACTCTTCCTTTAATATGCGTTAAAGATTTTTTTCCAAATGTCTCTTAATTTCCCACAATCTATTTTAACTTTGTACATAGGTTAAATGGAACAGGTAAAAGTGCTAAAATGCATGTCAACAAGAGCATAGAACAATATAGCGCTATATATAAATACAACCATTTACTATTTAACAATAAACGTTGTTACTATTTAAATCACTTGCTGTGGCTTCTGTCAGTAACTCAGTTTGATGCCACAGACTGAGTGTTTGTGTGCGTTGTCCAATATGCCCCAATCCACAGACTCCACAGACCCCTCTCCTGTCGGTGTACGCCGGCTGACTGAAGAAACCCACCCTCCTTTACGCACAGGTGAGCTGCAGCCGCACTGAAGCGTCACCAGCGCTCTTATAAAGCGCACAGCTGCCGGCTGATTACGCACACTACTGAAGAGCCGAGGTTTAATGTGAGCTGCGGTTCCTTCTCAGTCCGAAGACTTCTCTCTGCAAACATGAGCGCTGGAGCAGGAACCCCGTACATCGGCAGCAAAATCAGTCTGATATCCAAGGCACAGATCCGCTACGAAGGAATACTGTCCTCCGTCGACACAGACAGGTCCACAGTCGCTTTGGCCAAAGGTACGTTCAGAGCCTGATCAGTGAGATGTGGGCCGCACGTGTTTTCTCGCTCACTGTTTGTTTTTGTGAATTTGTGAATCAAGGCTGCTCAAGATCAACCAAAAGCTTACTCTTGTTGTTTTTATAACAGTGAAATCCTACGGGACAGAGGACAGACACACCAACCGACCAGTGCCACCAAAAGATGACATTTATGAATACATCATTTTCAGGGGAAGTGACATCAAGGATATCACTGTGTCAGAGCCACCGAAATCACACCATGGACTGCCCCGTGACCCGGCTATTGTGCAGGTGTGGGGCTCAGAGATGAGTCTGACTTCTTATGAACTTTTCTGCAGGTGTATTTGGCACAGATAAAAGTAACAAGTCACAACTGATGAGAGCAGTTCCTTTTGTCTTAATTTGTGTGATTTCAGTCGTCCATTGGTGGCTCCTCTGCAGCGTATCACCAACGATGGAGTCCATACAGGGATATGATGCCCACCTACAACCAGCTGGCGGCTAGTTCTCTACTCAACCAGCAGTACAATGCAGCACTAGGCCTAGGTACTAATTATTTGTGGGACACCTGGACACCTGCAGATGAGATGTTTTGTTGTTCTCAGGTCTGCTGTTGATCATGCCCCAACCATGTTTGTTCCTTTTCTCTCAGTACCAGGACTTCATGGCATCCCTGCCAGAAGAGCCCCCATGGTTGAGCAGGCCGTCCAGACTGTGCCGCTGGCCAGTGCTGCCCAGAAAAGAGGGAAAGCTTCAACCCAGCCTCTGAGCAGACAGCCTGGTCGCCCAACCCAGCACTCCAGTTCCCAGCTTCAGAAGGAGAACGTACCCACCAGTAAGCAAACTTAATGGTGGATCTTTACATCCACCATATTTAGAGTCTTGGATTCCTTTTTAATCCAACTTCAATAAGAATCTCTTAAAAGCATGCAAAAATATTCTTGTTTAGAGCGGGCACCATCCCAGCCAACTGCAGCCAAGATTCAAAGCCAAGCAACAGAGAACCAGAAGCAAAGGCAAAAACAAGGTAACAAAACTATATTTCTCACGCCAATTATTTTTATTATTAAAACAGATGCTGATTCAAGTGTAGTACAGGATTACAAAAGTAAAAATCCACAATCTGTACTAACCGATTTAATCAGATTTACAATGGTGTTTTTATTTATCTGAATCTTTTTCAGGCAGTCGCAGGTCGAGGAATCGAAGCAGAGGCCAACTTATTGTTAAAAACTCAAAGGCTACAACTCTGCAGTTTGACTCTGACTTTGATTTTGAAACCGCCAATGCTCAGTTTAAAGATGATCTTACAAAGGAGGTTGAAGGCATGTTTTTGTTTTAAGTTTACCAGTCACCTCACTTTCAGTAGACAGAAAAACGGTTATAGGTATAAACATGTGATTTTTTTTTTTTTTTTTTTTTTTTTTTTTTTTTTTTTTTTTAACCATTTATGAATTGCTGCAGTTGAGAAGGTGGAGTCTGAAGAGGCCCCAGAAACTCTGGCTATGGAGGAGGAGGAAACTCCTGCTGATAAATACTACGACAAAACCAAATGCTTCTTTGACAACATCTCATCAGACCTGAAGCCCAGGTGATTATCACTTTGGCCATTTGTCTCTTATCTCAGGAGTTTGCCATGCTGCTGCATTACAACACACGTAAAAGATGTTGTGCATCCTCAGGAGAACAACATGGGCAGAGGAGAAGAAGTTGAACATGGAAACATTTGGAGTGCCCGGCCGCTTCCTGAGAGGTAGAGGATTTAGAGGCCGAGGGAACCGGGGCCAGAGTGCAACTGAGCAGCGACCCCTGCCGAAAGTTGGAAGCGGGAGAGTGTAAAGGCTTTTCTTTGTATTTTTTTGTTCAAAATTTCTGTAAATAATGAATATTGTAGTTTTCTACTAATCAAAAAAAAAAAAGAGTACCTCCCTATTTTCCCCCTTTTGAAGCACTTGAAGCTATTTTTTTGTTTTCTCGTTATCCTAAATGTACTTCGAACCCTCATATGAAATGGGAGAGCAATTTATTTTTAATCCAGCAGCTGTGCACTGAAAGCAAATCTATTCATTGATAGTTGGTTTGGAAGCATGCAACATGCACTTTGTTAGAACAGGCCAGCAGGCATGCATTTAATTTTTTTCTTTTTTTACTGAATGTATTAAATGTCTTTGACCTGACTCCAAATGTAACTCCAGACTGTTCTGTGAACGCTGGATGGACAGACAGCTGTGTTTATTTCTTTTCTTGTAAAATGAGAACTGTAGACAAGTTAACAGTTGCTATTAAAATAACATACTTAACAGACTGGCTTTTCATCTGGTACTGTACATTCTCAATCAGAAGAGAAACTACTTAAAAACTGAACCCAAATCTTTTATAGTAAACATCCATTCCCCTTTAAACTACCCTAATAGTTGATAACATGTATGGTTGGTTCCCCTGCTCACCCAATGAAAGTAGCACCCTGATTAAAGAGCACATGCTCAGTTAAGTATCTCTTGTGGTTTGCAAATGGAGGCGAGTGTCTTAAACTTGAGGTCTAAGGTTTCCAGCGTTTTCTGGAATGAATCATCATCAGGAATGCTGATGGAATCCAGCTCTGTATGATCGTCTTCGTCGCCCTCTTCTGCATACACGTGATGCAGATCATTCAGCTGGTTGACCTCTGTCTGCTGCAGAGTGGTGACCCTCTGTGGACGAGGGATACATCAAAAATCCCAATGCTTTACCATGACAGGCTAATACATGCATTCGAGCAAACAAGTCAGCACCTGGGCTATAAAATGTAGCATGTACGTGACTAACCTTGTGAAGCAGGTTTAGGAGTGTCTCTTCCTGTAGGTATTTTGTTGTTCTTATTTTAGAATTCATTGTGCCTAGCTCCATAACCTGTAAACAAAGTTAAATAAGTTCAACACCTGCCTCAAAGTGACAAGACACACTAACCAACTGATGGTCACCCTACCTTGCGGGTATTGTAGTGGCCATTGTTTGAACTGTATATCCAGGTCTGGTGATCAAATGAAACGGAGTTAAGCAAAAATAAAAGTAAATTTTTATATGTTGAGTTATTTGTATCATTTACTTACTTGGCTACAGTTGTCCCTCTCGAGGTTAGACTGATTTGTTACTCCTCTGTTATCCACATTTGGAAATTGTCCATCCACGAAGCTTTGGTTCTTTCCCAGTTGAACAGAATGAGTGTTAAAGAACAGTAAATCCATGATATCTAAATAGCAGTCTCATTTTTGTTTGTTGAATGCTACAATGTACATTGTTTGATATCTTTACTTATTTCCCAGTGAATAATGAATGAATCTTGATTTTGGAGAAAAAAGACACATTTAAGGGACTGATAACTATGAGTGTGTGAAATTTGGTGGAGTCAGAAGTGACTGTTGGGCCTTGGCAGAGGTTTGTGCTCTACTGAGTGTCATGCTATGGCACTGCATCGCTGTTTTCAGACATGACCTGTGAGAGGTTCTCTGCACAGACACTTTCATAATAGCAACAAATCCTCTGGATTATTCAGACAGCCAGGAAGTGACATATTTACTCAGCTGCAGAGATCACGTGATTTTCTTGACAAAACACTCACTGTCATCGTCTCTTATCACCAAAAGCTCTCTTGACATCTTAGTTGGTGTCTTCTACACGTATGGCACCATTTTTTTACCAGGAGATATCTCTTCTTTTTTTTTTTTTGCCCCCCCACATTGGTTTCTTTCGATTTTCTGCAGCAGCTTATGTTCTGCTTATATTTAAAATTTGTGAGAGACAGAAATCTGAAAATTTTTATATGTGTAACTTGTATTTCAACCAGAGAAAAAAAAAAAGTAAATATCAACTCTTATCACCCACTTTAGTTGAAACATTTGTAGGCTGTATCCCATAACGCGGCATTTGGCACTTAGATGGAGCTTGGTACTTCTTGTTAGTGGAGCCTGCCAGGTCATTGTCATGCACCTTAAAAAGAAAAAAAGTGTTACAAATATCTTTTTAATTAAAATGCCAATGGTTTGTTTCTAAACGTTTGTGAGTAGTGACCTTGCAGTCTGTGCCGGGGTTCTCAGAGTTTGATTTGAGGAGGGTCTGTCCAAATGATTCTATCTCAAAAAAGGTGAACTCTTTCTTGCAGGAGCAGATGATTGTCATCAGCAGCACAACTGTCCGTGGGAAGGAGACAACAAAATTCAACTTAATAGAAACAGTTGATGTTACTGTGTGTAAGGATACTAATAAGACTCTGTTGCAGTTTCTTACACAGAAGTAAAAGCAGAGAGGCAAACACTATGCCCAAAGCACCAAAGTGGGCTGCTGAAGCAGTGTTTCTTTGACTTTGGCAGTTGGCTGTCACAGAGCAGTCGCACACGGTCACGCTGAAGTTGTAATGGCCAAACTCGCCCTGCATGTCATAGATCTTCAGCTCAATTGTGTGATGTCCGGCATACAAACCAGGTTCCTTCACCAGACCAGCAGTGTAACCTGTGCAAATAAACAAAACGTGATGACTCCATCATCTATCCATTCATTCTCTATTTTAATCATACTTTGACACCCTGACATTGGGCTAGAGACGGGGTACACTGAGAACAGGCTTACATAGAGACAAACAAACAATCATTCACCCTTGCGTTTGATTTAGAGTCTCCAGTTAACCCAATTTGCATGTCTTTCAACTGACCACGAAAGGATTGGGAATCATCTTGCTCTGAGGCCATAGTGTTGACCACGCACCAGCACATTTACAATTTTTAGCTATTTTCTGTGATATTTAACTACACAGAAAAAAGTTTCTCTACCATGTGAGGGACTGAGTTTCCATTTTCCTTTGACATCCCCCAGCAGTTCAAAGGTGAAAGGCCCCCCGAAGGGAACTTCATCCAGGTCATAGGCTGTGATGTTGGTGGTGGTGGAGCTGTCAGACAGACACACATCCAAGTGTTGCACTTTTGGCTGTGGCACATTGTCATTTACGTCAGACACCTCGATTTCCAGAGTAGATGTGCCTGTAAGAGGCGGCTCCCCTGTCCAAGATTAAAAATCAGATATTGAATGAAACAATTCCTCAGTAAAAATATGAAATATGTGCTCTGTGTATATGCAGGCTGCTACTCAATGAATCTTACCGTTATCCACTGCAAGCAGTGTGACATTGTAGAAACCATTGACAACATAATTAGATTCTCTGTCAGCTGGTTTGATTGTGGTGATTTTGCCTGTGTGGGGATCTACCGTCACCCAGCCAGCAGGATCATGTCCCACCTTGTACCTGCGGACAGATACCTATGATGAAGAGGTCGCTGAGGAAAAAGTCCAGCATAAAAGCTCAAATATGTCAAAATAAAATCCTGCTTACACAAATTTACTATTTTGATTGGAGTCACTATCGGTGGCGGTCACATTCCCTAACCAGGTCCCAGGGGGGGCATTCTCCTCCACCCAGGTATGTTTAATAGACACACTGAACTCTGGGGGGTCATTGACATCCTCCACTTCGATGGTGACATTTACTGTGTGAGTTTGAGCTAAACCAGCATTATGCCCTTCACTGGAATCAACTGTCCAGAGACCGGAGGACGTCCTCTTCTTCACTTTGCAGAAGAAATATGGCATCTCGTTTTCCACAGAGATGGACAGTTCTTTCAGAGCTCCCTTCTCAAAGTCTAAAGGCTGAAACAAACAGCATGTATTGTCAATAATTCATTATTTTTATTCATTATACTGTATTTGTGCCATGCAGAAAATTCTCAGCCAATTATATCATAGAATTATTCAAAAATGTTAGCGTCAAATGGAGCTGATGTATTATGACAAACGTGAAGGTAGTAATTACGTGTCAGATGTAGGGATGGGTGTCATAGTAATGTAAAAAATGCAGCCTAACAACACGCACTTTGACAACTGTCAGGATTCCATCATTGGTGTCTGGATCTGTTTCAATCTTGAAGTGCCCTCCCTCATCACCATGTATGGTGAACCTGGCTCTCCATGCTGGGCTGTTCCGAGTGTCCCCGTCTGTCACCTGCAGCTGTAGAGGAGAAGACCCAGTTGTCTCCTCCTTCACTTTATATGTGCCCTGTAGTTTGAACCCAAGAGGATAAAATGTCAAACGAAGAAATCTATTCGTTCTTTAATTTTTTTGCATGTTCTGCACGCAAGATGTACATGAGTTGATTATACCGCTGTAAAATTACCTGGATAGACAATTACAGAGAGTAGAAAATAACTGAGAAGATCTTTGTTAAAACCATTGCACATTTACATATTAATATTATATTTCCCTGCAAATGAGTTTCAGGATGTGAAAATTGTAATCCTTCAGAACATGAATCTTTGTTGCCGAATATTCATTTGGTTATAACAAGAAAATACTACAAAACTACCATTTTATTGAAGATGCACTTTTCATAGAGAGATGGAAATAATAATTTCTCAAATATTATTTATTAGAATTTTATGTACCATTATAATGTATTATTTCCACCTTTTTTTTGTAAATCGCTACAGACAATTACAATATAGAATCCTTAACAATTTTACATTAATCATAAATAAATATTTGTAAAAATGGGCCCCTAATGCCCATTCAGAGAATTTGAAATCGTAAAGTGCTTGTTAGTGCATCTAATGCCCTATTTATTTTAGTTTACACTGCGCTCAGTTGTTGTTATGTTTCATCAAATTATTTTTCTGTGTGTCAAGTAATAAGTGGCATTGGCCAACAGATTTTGCTTTAACTTAATCATGCAGTAAACACTGATTGCACAATGTAATGACACCATCTGTTTAACTCTCACCTTCCCTGTGCTATTCTCCTAGGGAAAAGTGGTTCTGAGCAACTAAATCAGGAGGAGGATGGTTCCTTGGGGTTTAATTTTTCCTCGACAGCTTTCAATTTTTCCCAGGTAATAGAACAAGCAGATAGTACAACAACCAGAGTAACTCTGGGAACTACCCACCAACAGTAAAATAATATATTTACAACATTTGTTGAGAACACTACAGCAAATATTTAAATTTTTGAGAACGTTTGCACTCTTTCTCAAAAAGTGATCAAATGAACAAATAATCAACATACTTGCCAATGGGTTTTTCTGTTAATTGAATAAGTGATTTATCAGCGGATCATTTCAGCTCTTTAAGCACTGGTTGGTTTGTACATCAGCAGCCTCTGAGGTTGATGTGCCCAAGCTTACCGTTTGTCCGCTGATGGTTGGGAGGTGGTCGTTGCTGTCCTGGACATTAATGACAACAGTTGTTGAACTGGACAATTGGACGACTTCTCCGTGATCTATGGCCTCAATCACTATGCTGATTATTTTAGAGGCCTTAATATAATGAGAAATAAATAATAAAAAGATAGATTAGATCAATAGTGTCCTTGACAGAACTAGTCATTATAGGAATAAATCTATAAAATATGGAGTAATTCTTTGCTACAAATCCATTATTGGTTAACAAACCTAGTTTTCAAACAAAAAGGCTTTTAAAATAATCTTCAGTTGATTTTAGTTTTTGTAAACTAAATTCAGAAAAGTAGTTTCAAAATACTCAGATAACTGGACAGTGCTCAAAGCAAGAGTGCTGTATATAGCAACATGTTAACACATGTCATACAATGTATGTCATATGTTTTACAGCCTCTAACCAGCTGAGGAACTAACAGAACAGGAAGCCACCGTCATTTGATTTTCAAAATGTTTTTTACACTTCACATGAGTCTGACATATTTAAAAAAGAGACTTGCCTCATGATCCAAACATCCTTTGAATGAAATGTCTCCATTTTTCTCAATGAAGAATTCAGAGTCCGCAGATTTTGGAGACACAGATTTGATTTTATAGTGGAAGGTGGAGTTAGCTGTTTTATCCTTGTCTCTGTCAGTGGCCACTACAGTCAGGAAATTGGAGCCTGAGGGAAATAACAGAGAAATTAATAAAGTACTTCACATGGTAAAATAAAAAAGAGGCATTTTTACTGAATTCTTTACCTTGTGCTTGATCCTCAGGAACCTCGATCTCATACAACTCCCTGTCAAATACTGGTGGGTTGTCATTGATGTCCAGTATGGAAATTTCAACTCCTAATTTAGTGTCGATATCTTCATTTACCAATCTGGCCTCAAATTTCATCTGTGGATCGAAAGACATGACTGAAAGTTGGTCACAATGTAAAGAAACGAATGCGATTTACTCCTTGCATGTCGTGATGGTGGTATGAAATGGGATAACCCCTAACCCTAACCCTTTCACAAATGATGGTGCTTTCAATAGAAAATGTATACAATGTATAACAATAATAGTCTGCACTGGACCAACCCTGTCAAACATTTTTAACTTGTGTAATAATTTGATTATTTCTTTATCCTGTTTTACATTGTCGTCCTACCTGCTGCTAACATGTCTTCTGCCTGTTCTTGTTTGCGTCATATTAATTTTGTTTGTATTGCTATGGTTTTGTACATATGGTGTTTTTTCCTTATCATCCCAATGTTCCAAAAACATGTTTCCAAAGGACTGCAAATAAAATGAGCAGCTGTTGCAAACATGTTGAGTTATGTGTGTCCTTTCAAATCAATTAATTAAAAGTATGTCTCTGTGTCATGCCTTGCTTTGGACAGAGTCCCAACTTTCACTTTCTGAGACGTTTATTGTGCAATCTCATAAAGTCAATGCCAGTACCTAATTTGAAGTCATTAGCTGTAAAACCTACAAGCTGTTGTTAGTTTATGTTGAGTCTGACCTCAAGCTTGGTCTTCTCCTCGTAGTCCAAGGCCTTGTAGACGTATATGGTGCCGGACTCTTTATCGATCTTGAGGACTCCCAATGGCTCCTCATCTACTCCTTCTCCAAGCAGATTGAAGAATACTACATATGCCCGGTCGATATCTATCTACAACACAACACAACTCCTCTCACTCAGCCTCAAGGAATCTAAGACTTGGATTCATCAGTGAGAAATTTTATGTATGGAACTCATGATCTACTTTTGGATATAAATCAATCAAGCAATCAATCAAATGTTATTTATATAGACCTTATTTACAAATCACAATCTGTACAAGGTGTGACATCCTCTGTCCTTAACCCTTGAATAGGGAGAGGAAATATTCCTATAACAGAAACCACAGGGAAAGTCACAAGTGAGGGGTCCCTCTCCCAGGACGGACAAAAGTACAATAGACGTCAGAATAGAAGCCATAAAGAGCTGAGTGATTGCAGAAGTCAAAATAGAGCTAATTATTGATAATCTATTTAATCAATAGGTAAATTGAATCATGAGATCTGGTTTTTGAGTTTGAAAATGAATACACATCATTTTCCAGTAAAACAGTTTGTGCTTTGAAACATATGCATTTAGTGTGAGCAGACGCTGTGATTTTCTCACCTTGCCCAGCACATAAGGGAAAGGCCCAGGATGCCCCTCCTCAATACTGAAGGAGTCAATTATCCAAGTCCTCTTCTGACGTCTCAGCAGCTCTGAACATGTTGAACTTGACAAATAATAAACCTGAAAGCCAAACAACACCTGAAGAGTCTTGTCCTTACAAGTCAATCTATAGTAAGTGTGTATGATTGTTTAAGGCAATAGGCATTTATTTGCTATGGAATGAAATGATTTATTGTCCTCATGGTAGGTGAACCAGTTCCCAGGCAGTGCATACCTCAAAAAAATACCATCGCAGTGTACTTTGTGCCCTTTAGACACAATATTTAAAATTGTTTTTTGTGCACTTAAGATGTTTATTTCACACCAATTAATTTATGAACTTAAAACTGTCTCAAGAAAAGTCTCTGACCTGCACAGAAATATCAAAAGCACAAAAATACATGTCAGTAAACCTTTACATTTGCTGTGCTGGAAAATGAGGCACAAACTTGACAGATTCTAGATAATGAAAACATTGTAACCTTTGAGGTATATATACTGTATAATGAAATATAAAAAGCTAAAGTGATTCAATCTAAATTAATTAGAAAAAGACTTTCATCATTGGTACATACCAGGAGGAGGAAGAAGAGCATGATGCTTGTTCAGTATATCCAGCTCCAGAGTGTTTGAGGACTCACTCTGATATCCTAGTAACGAAGAATGAGACCCTGCCCCCTCTGCTATCCACACCCACATATGAATATGATAATAACAGGTTACAGTGTGTTTGTGTGTGTGTGTGGGCTTGTGCATTATTAATGCTATACTTTTTATGTATGTCACTTCTCATGAGGTATTTGACAGCATTGAATATGGCTTCATGAAACACAGCCTCAGTTACTGCTCAGTAATCATCACTCTCAGATAGTTTTTTTTGGGTGGTTCATTATTTTTCTCTGCACTGTGCGAGCTTGAAATTGTGCAAGGGTTTTTTAGAAAGCTGCCCCGCAGGTTCTGACTGTTGCAACCACAAATTTCCACTGAAGCACATTTATTTACTTATGACCAAGGTACTTCTCTAGAATTTTACTCCAGCTTGAAGTTACCTGGAACAGGTGAGTCATTGTGAGGGAACCTGGGAAGTAAGATTCCTTTATTGTTAAAACAGCATTTAGTTTAAACTGAAAAACTACTACAATATTAAAACACAATTTTTTCACCACATTTACCTGCAATCATCCAATTATTATATTATCTTTCTGTGTTATTTCTGTACAAAATTTAAATCCTGTGAGGTAAGTAACAGAGGAGCAGGTCTTGTCCGTCAAACATGCCATTACAGGAATAGAAACAGGTAAGAATAATAGGAAATCTCCATATTTACAGTTCATGGTCTCCACCTCCAAAACACACACAGCACCCAACCAAAGAGCCAGTTTGTGGAAGACAGTCGTAGCTGAGAGGCTTCTTTGAATTGCGTGCATCACAGTAAACTCTTCAGCCCGAACTGAGGGGACAGCTGCCATCCTGCAGGAGGAGATCCTTTGCCGAGGAGAGCGGTGCATCCTAGGAAGACGATGACGGTGTCTATCTTACACCCTTTCTTTCTCTGGAGGTGGGAACCTCCTTCTCACTGTGCTGGTGTGTATTTCTTCATCTTCTGATCCAGCCACAGGGGTGTCTGCACCGTTGGCGTTGTTGGTCTGGCTGTCGGAGGAGGAGTTTGAAGATGTGGAGGACATGCGGGACTTGGCGTCAAGATCCTCAAGGACATGTCGAAAGAGTCCATTACTGTTGACTTCCTCGTTGTTGTTGTTGTTTCCTTGGAATGTGAGTGAGATGAGAAAACATTTTCAGGCATACAGATTTGCTGTTACATTGCTTGTCATCTCTGTTCTACTTCTGGTGTCCATACCTGGCTGTGGGGCCGTCAGCACTCCGTCTTCTCCTCCGGGACTGAAGAAGACATCCAAAGTGTCCTGGTCAGAGTTGTCAGTCAGCTCCATCTGGTCCAGCAAGTCCACATTCACCTCCATAGACGAGATGCTGCCAATGGGAGCTGTCAGAAGAGCAGGAGATAAGAAATAATCCTCATCTCTATGTGAATGTGCACATGTTCACACCAGTCCAACTCACGTCTCTTGTAGTCTCTGATGCACAGGTGTGCCGAGGACAGGTAGACATCCACATCATGCTGGAAAACCTCCTCAAAGAAACGCTGCCTCTCTCTCAGCTTGAGCTGCTGCGCTGCATCCACATCTGGGAGCCTCTGGCATCGCTCTGTCTCTGCTAGAAAAGCACAACAGAAAGACAGGACGTCAGAGAGCTGCTCAGGTCAAGTTTTACATTCGAGACCTGGAGTCCCGAGGCCCGAGATCTTGTCCAGCAAACACAACATGAGAAGTCTTTACAGATGTGTTTCTCCACTGTGTAAATTATTGGGTGATGTATGATGAACTGTACTTTGAGACTTTGTTGAGACTCACACAGGGCCAAATGGTAGTAACCAGAAGGGGGAGACATTGAGCTACGTGTCGTGGATTTTTGGACTCTTACTGTTGAGATTGACTATTCAAATAAAACAAGCGAGCAATGAGACATAATGAAAAGTGAATTACACATCTCACAGTTAATACAATTACTCCTGTTGTTCTGTTGATGTGTTGTATAATATATATATATATATATATATATATATATATATTTATATGTTATTATATATTATTATAAAACAATAAAATTGCTGGCACCATTTTTCACTGAACTTTCAGTCCTGTGGATTATTATACATTCCACTGACATGAATTAACTTTAATCAGAACACTAATTAGACAAACAATCCAAACCAACACTGTTCCAGTTTTTATATTCTATATATCAGTCTCGATCCACAGATAATTTGAAAATGCAAGCTGTCAGGTTGTTTTATAAATTAATTTTGTTTTGAGATACACATTTTACTCATGAGTATCATTGTGCAGTAAGTGAGTAGACGGGTGGACTGAGGTCATGTCAGTGAATATGACACCCACTATGATGACAACAGCCCTCGACATTGGGCTGAGGAAATAATGATTGATGTCCTTGCAAATCTGACATCATATCTGTGAGAATATAGAAACTTGAAATGCCAGGCTGTGGTTGTATGCCTCCACTAAACTGTGTTTCAGTTTACTTGCATGTCTTTCAGACTCATATGAGGTCACCATGACCTTTGACCAGAGACCACCGAAATCTAATCAATTAATGTTTGAGTCTTAGAGATAACTGATGAAAATGTGAAGAAACTCCCTGAAGGCAGACTTGAGATATCATGTTCCAGAGTCCACCCAAAACATTTTGAGGACACTATGACCCTGTCCTTTCATGTTTGACCACTCAAATCTAATCAGTTAATCTAAGAGTCCAAGTGAATGTTTGTACCCCATTTAAAGAAATTCCCTCATGTCTTGAGATATCATGTTAGAGTGGGACGGACAGACAACCTAAATACAACATACAAAGGAAGCCACTGTGTTGTGATTTAATGATTTTAGGAAATATATTAATATGCTTGTTTTATGGATTGGATGAGATTAATGTCCCTCTAATGTACATATGGTAAATATGTAGCTGGAACCTTAGTTTAGCACAAGGACTGGAAACAGTGGAAAAAAGTTAGTGTGGCTCTGAAGATCATTACCTGTAGCTACACATTCCCCTCACAGATACACAATGATTGTGATATCAATCACCTTATTTAACTCCCAGCAAGAATGTGAACTTGATTCAACTTGCTGCAATTTCAGGAAAGGGTACCTCCCATATCTTAACACATACTGTGAGTCTACAGAGATCAGTGCTGCAGTCGTTCTGTCACTGTGAGTGTTTTTCCATTGTGTTTTCTTAACAAATCCATATGTTGCACTGCCATTAGAGCAGTGTCAGAGTTTTGAGGAGCTACTACAACTGGCAGACAGTGACTGAACTAATACGATGAGGCCATGAACTGGGAATAGAATGAATATTATCTGGCCTGTGTTGAGAGTAGCAGTCACAGTGGCTCTATAAATACCCCACAGGGTGATGGAGAACAGAGCAATGTTCAGCTTAGGTTGATTACAATAAGAGGGAAAGACAGGAAGACAAAAGAGAAGAGATTCCCTTTGGCACAACCTCACATAATGAACTGAACTTACAACTGCTGTAGTCAGGAAATCTCTACAGTCACTGTGAATGCAAAAATAATGTAGATGTTGGCCTAAAAAGCATCTACAGGTTGGCTTCTTCAGAGTGCTGCATCAGCACAGTCCCAACACTGAGTCGGGCACATGAGGACAGAACGGGAGCCGGTCGCTGCAGCTCTGCTCAGCCCTGTGCGACAGCCTGCCTCCTGGGCACAGGGACCTCACCGGCTCCGACGCTGGAGCAGACATGAAGGAAGAGAGGAGGACACAGAGGAAGTTACATGTTTGGTTCAAATGTTAGAGATTGTGATTGATCTGAAAGTTTGTGACACTTCTTTCAATTATGTTTAGCAAAGACAGAAAGCAGGTGTCACTATGAGCCCCCTGCAGGAGGTATGATCTGTATGATTGTGATTACTAGTCCTGTACCTTTTCAAATTGTATTAATATTGAACGTATCATGCGTCCAAATCACACCCAATGCAACACTGCACTTCCCTGGGCCATAAAGGACACACATGCCAAGTGTGAAGCTGATAAGATGAACGGATTACGAGATATACGAAATACAGACAGACAGGCATGAAGCAGTGATGGAGATTGAAGGTGCAGTCACAGTTCAGTCCCACTTGCAGTCTTAAAAAGCAATAGTAGTTGTCTGTCTAGTGTAGTCATCTTTGTGGTGTTGTGTCTTTGTGGAAGAAGTGGTTGTGGGTCCATGATGCACTGCCGGACGCACAATCTGAAATACTTAGTCTCGGTAAAGTGAAGGGAACAGTGCTGATAAAGCAGGATGTCAGTCACAAGCAGGAGCAGCCTGTCAGATGTGTGCTTGTTTAATGTGACCACTGGAGGACTTCATCTCAGACTAAACACTGGATGTGTATTGGAAGAGGGAGCAGACAGCTGTTTAATAGTGTTTTTCCACTGCAGCCATCTTAAAAAATGATGCTTTTCATTACAGGCTACAGGTTTAAACAAATTGCTGATGCTGGATTCTTTCCCCACTCGGTTAAACACTGATTGATTGCAGAATTGATGTTTCTACTTAAAGGCTGAGGCCCACCGAGAGCTAAAGGTTAGCTACAGATGCATAACCCCACATTGATTTTGCTTCCCTATCCAGTTCCTTTTTTCCCCATAGAATCACCTTGATCAATGCGTCTTCCCTGGCTGCATGCGGACGACCCCGCTGACCTCTGATTAGCGCAACCACTCACACGGGAAAATCCTCCTTCACAAGAAAAGCCACAACCGCAGTCTCCACTGCCGATGAGATCACATGTCGACTCTGCTGCAGTCCCACCACAACCCAAAGTCTTTAGTATCATGTCACAAGACGTCTGGAGGTTGTGAGGCCACTCCATGGCGAGGATAGAGAGATAACCTGCCGGCATAAACTTCACCTCTTTTCATTCCTCTTAATTGTCTGTCAGTCTCTCTTTCTTTTTATTCTGTCTTAAATTCAATGATGTGTGATAGTTCTCTTGTCCCTTCTATATATATACTTTTTATTGTTTGGGTTCTGGGCGTTGTTTGCAGAGCTTTTTATAAACAGTCCATGGTGCAAATGTGAGTTAGAAAACTTTGTGTTCATCCTACCTGGGTTATAGTAAAAAAATGTCATAAAATGAAACTGAATTTGCTTTAATACTGTTCATGTGTGGTTTATATGTAAGTTTCATGATTTACAAGTGCACCTCTCTCAACCTCACTTGTCGAACAGTGACCACATGTTTTGTTTTATGTTGGTTGCCATGATGTTTTGTGTCTTCTTTGTTTGTATGAATAATACCTGTGGTTGCTTAGTGTTTAAATTGTTACACGAATCCTATAATTGCTTATGATTAACGTCACTCTCAAAACCTGTATATTATTTCATGTGCATATAATTTTGCCTTTTTTTCCTGATTGTACTTTTATATTCATTTGAAATTACTTGTACCTGAGCCATAAGACTGGTTGTTTGGTTGGTTCATTTCAATTGATATTTTTCTCAGATTTTTCATGTTTGAACAACCAATTTGTCAAAGCTTTCATTTTATCTGGCATCCGTTTTTGTTTCTGAAGGTCAGTTAAAAATGTTGTTGAATTTGTATTGAATGCAGGTCTAACCTTCTTTTCTTTCAAAAGGAGAGCAGACTGCTATTTTATATTTAATAGGGCATTTATTCTATGAAGCTCTTCAGGAAATTCATACTTTTCATTACAGGCTACAGGTCTGTGCAACATCTGAATAATATATTTGTTGAATAGCTGCCTTATGAAATAACATGTAGACATAATCAGTGGCCTTGTTGACACTATCTCAGATTGGGATATGTTGATCATATGTTGATGTTTCACTCGTCAGATCAGTTGAGTTTATAGTCATGATGATTTTTTCTCCACTATCTGGAGCTATCATCTGTAAGTAGGATTTTTTTCATACAGCTCACCGTGCCCCTGATTATCCTTCATTTCAACTGAATGATTGAAGAACACAACATTGGGCTCTGATAGGGGATTGTTGTACTGTTAGTGGAGGGTCCGTGACAGTGATTGCATAGCTAAGACTCAAGAGCTGAAGATAAGCCTACACTAATGACCTTAAAGAGTCCCCTCTCAACCTGCCATTAACTATGTTTAGGCCTGACGCTCAACACAGATGCACCACCTCCCTGCCCATTTGGATTTATTTCAGAGTGAAGGTTGTTTGAGTGGGAGATGGTTAGTGTGAGAAACCAATCACATTGGTTGTTGCCAAGTGGATCAGTGACATCATGTTCAGGTTCTGTCCTTCAGCTATAGACGTATGTTTTACTGAGGCTGAAGAGAGGCTTTCAAAGATAAGCTCAACAAAAGGAGAGTTATACATAACACAGAGGTTATTATGCCCCACGTTATAGCTCTTTGTTTCTTCTCTTTTTTTCTGTCTCTCTCACTTTATCTTCTATTTGTTCTGTAACTTTTGTCTTGTAACTTCAACTTCTCATCTGTCTATCTCCTGTATATATATCTCTCTGGCTTATTCTGGCTTCACTTGTTTAATTATTTTATGTCCTTTTCTTTCTTTCTTTCCCTCCTCCTTTCATCCTTCCTTCCTCCTTTCTTCTCTCCCTCCCATCCATCCATCTCTCTTTC